GAGTGGGGGGCGGGGAGAAGGGGAAGGAGGGGCCCTCACTGAGGTGCCCCAGGGCAGGGTACTTAGGGTAGTTACTACCTTTGTTATGGTACCATGGAAAACATTTAAGGACAGGACGTATAAATTCCACAACATCTATATGGTTTCCTCCTCAATAGCAGCCCGTAAGACCGTATCTCATTGATGCCATGATGGCACAGGTTGTACCACGAATACCAATTCTTGACATAAAAAAAAAAGTCTCAAAGGTTCACCATGAAGTCCCTGAAATATGGCAGTTCCTGGACAACGCCAGTGAGAGTCTATTACCTGTGTTCAAGGGAGGGCTGCAACTTATTATTTGTCCTGAATTGTCTACAAAATCTAATTGCCCTTATGAATCCAAAACCAGACCCTGGAACAGCAGACTCCCAGCTCCCCTTCCCGGCATGCCCCAATGATGTTCATTAAGAGTCTGATGAGGTGCCGGGAGGTGGTGGCGCGCGCCTTTAATCCCAGCACTCGGGAGGCAGAGCCAGGCGAATCTCTGTGAGTTCGAGGCCAGCCTGGGCTACCAAGTGAGTTCCAGGAAAGGCGCAAAGTTACACAGAGAAACCCTGTCTTGAAAAACCAAAAAAAAAAAAAAAAAAAAAGAGTCTGATGAGATATTTCCTGGTTCCCCATGGGTGTGCTTATAACTATCCTGGTCAAAGGGCCACTGAAGGGAGATCCTGTGCCCTGGGTACTTCTGCTGCGGACCAGCTAGATGTACTGCAACTCAGGACTTTCTTGAAGTTCCTTAAGGGATCCCTTGTGCAGCTTGGAGTATGGGAACTCCCCCAGGGGGACCCTGGAAGGTCCCTACTGTTACACAGTGAGCTCCAGCCAGCCAGTGTTTTCTTCAAACATGTCAACAAAGAGAATCGATTGTATCCTTGAGCTCTGCCTGATGGGAGCCAAAATTGTTTGAGAGCAGACGGTAAACAAGGGTAAACATTAACTAGTAGGCAGATGGAATTGGAACCTCCCACGGATGGCTCTTTTTTCCCAGACCACCAGCTCTCAACCTTCCTAAAGCTGTGACCCTTTAGTACAGTTCCTCAGGTTGTGGTGACCCCCAACCATAAAATTACTTTCATTGCTACTTCGTAACTGTAATTTTGTTACTGTGTTTTCTGATGGTCTTTTATTTTGTGTGTGTGTGGGGGATCACGACCCTCACTGAGAACTGCTGCTGTAGACAGCAGACCCACCCCAGACTTAAGTTGACAAGCTGTGAATACAAAACTCAAACCTTAAACTCCTCCCTCTTCCAAGACAAGAGTGGAGTGAGGAAACCCGGTGAAGGAGGAAGTTAGGGTGATCTCTGCTGACTATAAGCAAGGCACAGGTAAGCCTAGGGAGGGGTGGTCTGGGGTGCAGGGGCTCTCCAGTGGTCGGGAGGTGAGAGGCTTCCTTTCCCGGTGGACTTGGGACCCTGCCAGCTCCCGGCAGCCCTCCTCACTTCACCTGTGGGTTCTAGTAATGGACAGGGTGTCTCAGCCCTGGCACATTCCAGGGACCCTGCAGGTAGGCACCTGCCTGTTTGAAGACAGCAGGCCTGTCTGAGGAGGTATTTTCCCCAGCACCAAGAACCTTCTGGTGCAAAGGAAAGCCTGTGAGGTGGTCATCTCACAGACAGACCTCACCTGGCCCTGCTTCCCCAGCTCTGTGCCAAGCTATCACTAACAGGAAGCCTGGAGCTGCTGAAGGAAGTCTTGCATTTAGGAGCCTTTAAAAAAATCTACAACCAGTTTCCCTGGGGCATCTCACCTTGGTTTTCCTTACCCAGCTAATTGGTCTTCCTGAGTATTTCAAGCATCCCTAAAGTCACTTGCTGCTCTTATGGATCCTAATTTCTAATTTTAGGGCAGGGTCTGACTTGTCTCATCCTCGGGAGTCTCTAGGTAGCATTATCCCACAAACCTAACTATACTGGTGTTAATTAGAAAGGTAGATGTGTGTGTGTGTGTGTGTGTGTGTGTGTGTGTGTGTGTGTGTGTGTATCTGGTGCAAGTGTGTTTGGGAGGTGCTCCTGTCCATTTGGCACACAGCATATCCACAGGACATGTTTACCCTGTGGTGGGCCTTTCAGGTGGTTTCCTTGGCAACCACACTTACTAACCCCTAGGGGCGGGATAGGGGGGCTCATGTAACAGTGACTAGAAAAGCGTGTAATTGGCTTAGCGGGTTCACTGTGCATCTTTGTAAACCTGAACTGACCCTGAACTGATTGGAGGGGTACAGTTTTGTTTAGTGGTTTGTTTGTGTGTTGAGGTTTTTTGCTTTTTGTTTTTTTTGAGACATGGTCTCATGTAGCCCAGGCCAGCTTTGAACTCCATATTATATGGAATACACACACACACACACACACACACACACACACACACACGAATGAAGGTGGGCATAAATTCCTAATCCTTCTGCTTGCACTCCAGAGAGCCGGCGTTACAGGTGTGCACCTCCACCATCAGCCTCTCTGGACTCTTAAGAACTGGCTCCATCCAGAGGTTAAGCTTCTTGACCCAAACCATTTGAAGGTGTGTTTTAGAAAAATGAGAAGGTGTGAGAGAAAGAGCAGAAGGCTCCTGAGCTGCCTGCGCTGCTGTACAAAAGAAGGAGCCCATGGTATAGGGATGCACAAAGCCCCCTGCTCCCCTTCCGGGCTCTTTCCTCTCAGCCACGGGCTTTTGAGCACTACCCGCTGACCTGACACGTGCCCAGTGAGATGGCAGGGTCGTTGACCATCGCCGTGAGTCCCCTAGCTCCTACGACAGTGCAGGGACAGCTGCTGTTCCCTGCATTTCCTGCCTCCTGACCCCTCTTCCTCAACCTGTTTGATGTTCTTACTGCCAGTCTGCAGTTCTGGCCTCCTCAGGGACAGAGCACACTCACAAGATAAGTGGGAGGTCAGCAGCTTCGGAGGGCACGAACCCAGAAATCATGGACATTTTCAACACTCAACATCATCTTATTCCTGTGTCCTACCTTCAGAGATGATGTACTGGGGCCGTTGGTGCTTACATTCCACTGAGGAATACCAACACCTTGTTTGTTTGTTTGTTTGTTTGTTTGTTTTTCGAGACAGGGTTTCTCTGTACAGTTTTGCTGCCCGTCCTGGATCTCGCTCTGTAGACCAGGCTGGCCTCGAACTCACAGAGATCCGCCTGGCTCTGCCTCCTAAGGGCTGGGATTAAAGGCGTGCGCCACCACCACTCGGCTCTACAGCTCTATCTTATGGAGGCATTTTCTCAGTTGGGGTTTTCTCTTCTCAGGTGATTCTAGCTTGTCAAGTTAACATAAAATTATCCAGCACACATACATACACACACAAACACACCCGTACATACAGACGTGCATACATATACATACATACATACATACATACATAGATACTATCAAACACACATACGTACGTACACACACACACACACACACACACACACACACACACACACACACACACGTAAATTTTTTAAAAACTGGCCCATGCCAGGTTCAATAACCTTAGTTGCATGTCTCCCAGCAGCCGGGCACTCACTTAGTACTGTCCCCATCAACCCTGAGCCTTCTCTGGCTTTTCTCATTGTGTGTGGGCTGCAGCTAAGACAGTCGTGGAAAGATGAGCCATTGTCTCAGTGGACAGAATCAACTCCAGTTAGTTTTGACTTTCTCATTTCTGTCAACAAGAGAATGCTGACACCCTGGAGTAGTTGTGACTCATTTCCTAGAAATGTCTGTGGCTTCACTCTGCTCCTGTTTGCCCTGTGTTGTTCACTTATTCTCAGTTATATTACTCCATAATTATATATATAGTTATACATATTATAATGTAGACATACAAGTTATTGTGATGGTTTGATAGAAAACAGCCCCCCTAGAGAGAAGTGGTCTATTAGGAGGTGTGGTCTTGTTGGAGTATGTGTGACCTTGTTGGAGGAAGTGTGTCACTGTGGCGGTGGGCTTTGAGGTCTCTTATGCTCAAGCCAGGCCCAGGGTCACAGTTCTTTTCTTGTTGCCTTTGAATCAAGATGTAGAACTCTCAGCTCCTTCTCCAGCACCATGTCTGCCTGCATGCCACCATGTTTCCCGCCATGATAATAACGAACTAAACCTTTGAAACTATAAGCTACCCAAATTAAATGTTTTCCTTTATAAAAGTTGCTGTGGTCATGGTGTCTCTTCACAGCAGTTGAAACCCTAACTAAAACAGTTATAAATAGTATTTGATTTTTTTTTTTTTTGCGAGGGTCACAATATTCCCTTACCTGACAGCTCAAGATCAACCCATCCCTTTAACAATTATTTTTAGCCTTAAAAAGACTGTGTTGTCAGGCGGTGGTGGCACACGCTCTTAATCCCAGCACTCGAGAGGCAGAGCCAGGCGGATCTCTGTGAGTTCGAGGCCAGCCTGGTCTACAGAGCAAGATCCAGGACAGGCACAAAACTACACAGAGAAACCCTGTCTCGAAAAACCAAAAAAAAAAAAAAAAAACAAGCTAACTATGGAGCCAGGTGTGGCGACGCTCACCTGTCATCTCAGTGTTTACAAAGAGGAGGTAACAGAATGAGAATTCACAGCTAATCTTGAGTATATGAATATCGGTATTTAAAAAAAATTGAATCATGTCTGCAAAATCCCTTTTCCACACAGAGCAACATCCACAGGTTCTGGGGACGAGGAAATGGCATCTAGGCCATCACTGCACAGCTGGGCACGGGAGCATAACTTCCCTCTCTAGTGACAGCTTCATTTGGCCTCTGCTGCTCAGGGCTGCCCCGAGGGGAGGGGTGTTGGTGTGGGGGCTGCGGATGCCTTTCAGAGGCCCTGCCCAGCTCATGCCTTCAGCTGCTTGTGCCGGCAGCTAGGGTTCAGCTGCCTCCTCGGGGCAGCCAGACATGTCACAGTATGTCCTACAGCCACACTAGTGTGCCCCTGGTGTTTCCAGCCAGCCTCAATCCCTGCCTTCTTTCCTCTCTAGTATTGTCTAAGTGCCAGGAGGAGGCCACCGTGTCAGCAAGCTGAGAGGGAAACTGAGGCAAGATGTCAGGCCGGAGCGGGAAGAAGAAAATGTCCAAGCTGTCCCGGTCAGCCAGGGCCGGCGTCATCTTTCCAGTAGGTCGGTTGATGCGTTACCTGAAAAAAGGGACATTCAAGTACCGGATCAGTGTCGGCGCACCCGTCTACATGGCTGCGGTCATTGAATACCTGGCAGGTAATTCTAGCATGTAGGGGACCTCTCACCCAGGTCCCAACCCTGGGGGGTTCTTCACAAGTGAGGAAGATGCTATGGATCACCCAGTACCTGGCTCAAAGATATAGCAGGTGGTGACAGGGCTTTTCCTGGCCAGCTTGGCCAAGGTCGGCTTCTAGAGGCTTTGGGAAAGGGCTTTGGAAAGTTGGTCCACATAGGACAGAGAGCCCACATTTAAGCTACCCTTCTGCGCCGGCCAAGCAAAGGGGCGACTTACCTTAGCAAACGCTGTATATGACTAGCTAAGCTCCCAGAGAGCAAGTGCAGAGAGGATTCTGGGAAAGGGAGAGAGGGCTCCTCACTCTGAAACAGATTGCTCCTTGAATCCCTGGGGCGGAGGGAGTTACAGGGGTTTTATTTTGTTTTGTTTTGTTTTGTTTGTGTGTTTGTTTTTGTTTGTTTGATTTGTTTGGGTATGTTTAAAGGAGAAGGGTCCGGGGGGAATGGTTCAGTTGGTAAATGCTAGCCGTACATTCATGAGAACCTGCGTTTGATCCCCAGCACTCATGTAAGAACTGGGCACGGTGCCACACACTTGAAATCCTGGCACTGGAGAAGTGTAAACAGGTCTACCCTTGGGGCTTGCTGGCTCGACAGCCTCGCCAGTCAGTAAGTTCCAGGTCCCAGTAGGAGAACCTGTCTCAAGAATGAGGTGGATAGTCCTTGAAGAACGACACCTGAGATTGACCCTTGGCCCTGCACACGCGCACACACATACACACACACACACACACACACACACACACACACAATCTCAGATCATCACGTTTGTTTGGAGAGCACGGTACCTACTGAGCCCCATGTCCCCAGCCCCAAGAAGAGAGGCTTTGGTTTTGAACCAGGGTCTCTATTGCCCAGGCTGGCCTTGGAACTCACCGTTTCACCAAGCTGGCTTCACACTCTGTTCAATCCTCCTGCCTCAGCCTCTTCAGTGCTGGGATCATAGGTGTGTGCCGTTCCACCCATTGGTGAGATGTTCGGTGCACTTCTTACTTAATTCCACTTGACATTCAGTCCTCGTGTAGTAAACCGAAACAAAACTTAACAATGGTGCGGGTGCTTTTTAAGAAATACAGCCGGGCGGTGGTGGCGCACGCCTTTAATCCCAGCACTCGGGAGGCAGAGCCAGGCGATTCTCTGTGAGTTCGAGGCCAGCCTGGGCTACCAAGTGAGTTCCAGGAAATGCGCAAAGCTACACAGAGAAACCCTGTCTCGAAAAACCAAAAAAAAAAAAAAGAAAGAAAGAAAGAAAGAAATACATATGTAGCCGGGTATGGTGATGCACGCCTTTAATCCCAGCGCTTGGGAGGCAGAAGCAGTCGGATCTCTGAGTTAGACCCTGGTCTACAGAGCAGTCCCAGGATAGCCAGGGCTACCCAGAGAAACCTTGTCTCGAAAGCAAACAAAGGAAATCTATGCAAGTCAAACATACAAAAGTGTAGATAACTAAGTGGGATTAGTCCCTCTAACAGTGTCACAGTTTGTCACTCCCCCGCCCCCCACACACACACCAAGGTTAAGTGCCATGAGGATTCTGCCCAGTTGAAGAAAAGCCGCCTCCTAGAAACTCTAACCTCAGCACTCTATGTGTTCAAGAGGCAGAGGCAGACGGATTTCTATGAGTTTGGGGCTAGCCTGGTCTACATAGTGAGGGCCAGGCCAGCCAGAGCTACATATAATTTTTAAGAGCAGGGAAAGCTGAGCATCAGCCTGAAGGCACATACCAGATCCTCTAATACAGCATTAATTTCAAAATATCTGTCCCTACAGGTGTGTTCGTACTTGTTAGACTACAGCGGCCCAACCTTTAATTCAGCAAAAGAGGCCATGGGTCTGAGGAGACAGCTTAGTCAATAGAGTGTTTGCTATGTGGGCGTGAGGACCTGAGTTAGCATCCCAACACCCATGCAGAAGCCGTGCACGGCTTGTAACCCCAACACTGGGAGGGAGGGAGGGAGGGAGGCAGAGCCCCAAGGCTCACTGGTGAGCCAGCCTAGCCCAAAGAGCAAGGTCTCATTTAAGTGAGAAACTCTCAAAAAGTACGGTGTAAAAACAAAATAGAAGATGACCCCTGATGTCAACGTCTGCCTCCACACAGGCGTGCACATGCGCACCATGCGCAAACGCAAACACACACACACACACACACACACACACACACACACACACACACACACACACACAGACTATGGTCACTGTGTCAGTGAACTCTTAGTGAACTTGCTAGCCATTGCGGAGTATTCCAGGAAAGGCATGAGAAGAATTTGCAGTTCATTAGTGCCTTCCATTCTGGAAATTCCGTGTAAATATTTAACTCCGATGTTTGTTTTATTCTGTTTTTGTTAATCACGTCTGCCTGGCTCATATGGTATACCTAGGCCAGATTTCAACTATTGCCGTCGATTTTTTTTTTTGGATGATGGCAACTTTATGGGCTCTTCTGTTTGAAGTGAAGTTGATTGTGAGGACACGTGCCGAATCCCCTGTTCATTTCAGGCCTGGGTATTTATGCCGCTGTACCAGCGGAATCCTTCAAAACACAGACTTGTCTACGGACGTTGGTGCAAACACACGCACCCTCCGCTTCCCTCCTCAGTGAAATATGTTGGCCCACCACCTCCAGCTTTCTAGTAAATACTTTCTCATTAAAACTCACTCCTTTAGTTTTTCATTTTCTTATTAGTTTGTCTGAGTCCCACTGTGTAGGCTAGGCTGGCCAGGAACTTGGCCTCCTTTTCCTTCAGCCACCCACGTGCTGGGATTTGTAAACAGGCACACCAAACGTATTCACACTTTTTAAAAAAAAAAAGATTTGGTTTTTACTTTTATTTATGTATGTGTCTATGTGAGTGTCTCCCACATTTGAGTGTCTCCCACATTTGAGTGTATCCCACATTTGAGTGTATCCCACATATGAGTGTCTCCCACATTTGAATGTATCCCACATGGAGGCCAGAAGAGGGTGCTAGGTTCTGGAGTAACAGGAGATTGTGAGCCACCGCACCTGACAGGGATTCTGGGAACTGAACCCGGGTCCTCTGGAAAAGCAGCCAGGGCTCTTAACCACTGAGCCATCTCACCAGCCCCTCGGTCACACTTTTTAAAACAAACGAATCATCGTTCCACAACTGAAGAGAAAGTAAAATAAATTTTTAATTAAAAATAAAGCAAATCTTTACAAAAACCATAACACTATAGCAATAAAAGTGAAGAAGAAAGAAAAGTAGCAGATGAGACAGAAAGTCAGGCATGATGGCGCACGCCTTTAATCCCAGCACCCGGAAGGCAGAGGCAGGCGGATCTCTGTGAGTTCAGGGCCAGCCTGGGCTACAGAGTGAGTTCCAGGACAGCCAGGCTACATAGTGAAACCTTGACTCAGACAAACAAAAAACAAAACAAAACAAAACAAAAAAATCCAGAAAAAGAAATGAAGTAAGAGGGCCAGTGAGATGGCTTATGGGTAAAGGCACTGGCCTTGCCCACTGGCAACCTGAGTTAAATCCCCATCTTTACAACCGACCCCACAGAGTTGTCCTCTGACCTCCACGTGTGCGCTGTGGCACACTTGCCCCCCCCCCACACCAACAAATTTTTAAAGAAATAAAAAGTTGCTAGAGATGGCCCAGTGGTTAAGAACACTGGCTGCTCTTTGCAGAGGACCTAGGTTTGATTCCCAGCACCCACGTGGTGGCTCACAGCTGTCTCTAGCTCCAGTTCCAGGGAATCCAAAACCCCCTTCAGAACTCTGCAGTCTCCAGGCACCTCCATGGTGCACACACATACACACGGGCAAAACACTTAAAGACACAAAGCATACAAATTTAAGAGAAATAAGAAATGACAGAGAAATAAATGGTATAAGATACCAGATATATCCAGCCTGGAGCCTTTAGGCTGCATATACCTCTAGATAACTATGGATACAGCCCGCAAGCAAAAACCACCAATTTTGGGGGGGGGCAGGCTGGCTCAGCAGGTAAAGACACATGCTACACAAGTCTGACATCCTGAGTCTGATTCCCAGAACCCTCATAAAGGTGGAAGGAGCGAGCCAACTCCACAGAGTTATTCTCTGACCTCCACCTGTGTGCAAATGCACACACGCACGCGCGCGCGCACACACCAACAATAATATAAGTTGATTGTCTATTAAGCTCTCCTTGTAATTTCAGCGGAAATCCTCGAGTTGGCTGGGAATGCCGCAAGGGACAATAAGAAGGCCCGGATAGCCCCCAGACACATCCTGCTGGCCGTTGCCAATGATGAGGAGCTCAACCAGGTAGGTCTGCACCCTAGGCTCAGCTGTGGGGGGGAGGGGGGCAGGGGGGAGAGCGATTTGCCAGGCATGCTCCTGGGTGGACGCAGCCAGGCATCCGTCATTCCTGTGGTAGTTCCCAGTCCCACCTACACACACACACACACACACACACACACACACACACGCCGCACGCACACACACGCGCACACACACGCACACACGCACACGCACACACGCACATACCAGTACGAGGTAGAGAAGAACAAATCTTGATAGCTCTGCATTCAAAGTCAAGATGAAACCCCCTCTTGAACAGACTCTGCCATGCCTCAAGACCTTGTCTCAGCACTAAACACAAGTCATCGCATGCACGTACTACTGGTAATTTCTTGACTCAAACCCTGTGGGTGATTTCCTGGGCTCTAAGTAGGAGATTCCTTGTTTATGTATTAGAACTGACTGACACCACGGTCAAGTGAACGCCTTCCTCCCCAACCATAGGCAAGCTGGTGGGTAAATAGTCTGAGAATTTTGATTTCTATTTCTGTTCTGAGCTCACTCTACTCAAACTGAAGAATCTTCAAAGTTGCCAACCCATCACCGAGTGACCGTTTTCCAAAAAGGAAAAAAAAAAAAAGTCATAAAAATTGATCGCTGGAAAAATGAGGAACAAAGGCATGCGAATAAAAATCCACAAGCTCGCCGGGCGGTGGTGGCGCACGCCTTTAATCCCAGCACTCAGGAGGCAGAGCCAGGTGGATCTCTGTGAGTTCGAGGCCAGCCTGGTCTCCAAAGCGAGTTCCAGGAAAGGCGCAAAGCTACACAGAGAAAATCTGTCTCGAAAAACCAAAAAAAAAAAAAAAAAAAAAAAAAATCCACAAGCTCTTGTCGTCAGAGCCAATAGTGCTGTAATACCTGCATGTGTTTCTAGACTCTCAAGTGGTCGATGCTGCTCTGGTCACATATGGATGGCTAGTGGATCATGGATAAGCTGTGGGTTCAGACCACCCCCTGGTCTAAAAGATGCAGAATATATGGTCATGGGTTAATTATTCAAAATGTACCCATTGGGAGATGCATGGTCAAACATACGTTCCTAATGGGACACAGGTTTGAGTGTGCAAGCCGCTGGATCTCCTCCTCGTGGTAACGTTTGATCCAGGTTTGACCAGCTGAGCTTCCCACCCGTGAAGCCCTCTACTCTCTGTTGTCATCTGAAATTCCAGAGCCCTGGGCATCGTCCCAGTCTCCACTTCTCTGACCCTTGGATTTTTGCCTTGTTTTGCCTTCTGCGCAAGACCGCAGACCAGCCGATACCCCCTGAGAAACGCTTTGCCAGCGTAGGACGGAAGAGCTAGTGACTGCATGTTAGCAGTTCCATTAGCTAAGGGGAAGCCAGACTCCAGCCTTGTCTGGCCAGTGCTGAGACCTGGGTTAGCCAGCACAGACCTGACCAGCTCTTCACATTTCTCTCTCAGCTGCTGAAAGGAGTGACCATCGCCAGTGGGGGTGTCCTGCCGAGAATTCACCCCGAACTGCTGGCCAAAAAGCGAGGGACCAAAGGGAAGTCAGAAACGATCCTCTCCCCACCCCCAGAGAAAAGAGGAAGGAAGGCCGCCTCAGGCAAGAAGGGGGGTAAGAAATCCAAGGCCACCAAGCCACGGACGTCCAAGAAGGTGAGTCCTGGAGCATTTCAGGAGCCAGGTATCACCACCACCATAGACACGCTGCTTCTCCATGGAAATCTGACCCCCCAAGGGATGAGATTAGGAGGTAGAGGCTTTGAGCAGGGGTGATGTCGTGGGGACACGTCCTTCACGTGCAAGATTAGTGTCCGTCTTAGTTTTCTTGCCCACTGCTGGGATAAATTATCCCGACGAAAGCAGCTTTAGGAAGAAGGAGTTTGTTTTGGCTGACTGTTCAAGGTATAATCCATATGAGGTTGGGGAAAGAGTCGAGGTGACAGGAGTTTGGAGCTGGGCATGGTGTCACCCGCCTTTAATCCCAGCACTCGGGAGGCAGAGGCAGGCAGATCTCTGAGTTCGAGGCCAGCCTGGTGTACAGAGGGAGTTCCAGGATAGTCAGGGCTACACAGAGAAACTCTGTCTTGAAAAACCAAAAAAAAAAAAAAAAAGTGGCAGGAGTTGGAAGCCACTGGTCCACATCCACAGATAGGAAACAGACCATAAATGAATACTCAGGTCCCTTTCTCCATGTAATGCTGTCCAGGATCCTTGCCAGGGAATGGTGCTGCCCACCATGGGCAGTACTAATGAAATCAAAATAATCTCTGGTAGACATGCAGAGTCCCGTGTCCCTGTCAAGGTGACAGTCCCAACCATCACAAAACCCTTCTAGTGGGGCCTGAAACAGCTTCTCATTCCATCACTTGGGGACCCAGTAACACAATGTCACCTGTGAGGAAGTGAGCCCTTACCAACACAGAATCTTCTAGAAAACCTTCGTCTGGCTCTTCCAGGCCCTCTAGAAGGAAGAGGACTACATTTCTGTGTTTACAAGCCACAACACATCTGTGTTATTTGTCCTAGCAGCCCAAACAGGCTGAGATGCTCTTGCAGTGAGAGGGAAGTCGGTGTTTGCAGAGAACAAGAGGCACTACATCTTTGCACTGGGATGAAGTGACAACATGGTGTCACTGGGTGTGGCAGCATAGACTTCTAATCCTGGTATTGGGAAGCTGGGGCAGGAGAATTAAAATTTGAGGCCAGCCTGAGCTATATAGTAAGTCTCAGTCCAGAGGTTAAAAAGGGACCGAGAGGATATGTATGCAGAAAAATAAAGAACCTTTGAGGTGGAGCTGGAGGGATGGGTCAGTGGTTAAGAACACTGGCTGCGCTCCCAGAGGACCCAGGTTCAATTCCCATCATCCATATGGTAGCTGACAACCCTCTGTAACTCCAGTTTCAGGAGATCCCATGCCCTCTTCTGACCTCCGAATGCATCAGGCATTGTACACAGTACACATACACATATGTAGGCAAACACTTAAACCCCTAAAATAATAGAATAATACATTTTAAAGAACCTTGGGTTCTAGAGTTCAAATCTTCATGTTTCCAGACTCAAAGAACAGTGATTTTCAGATCCTTTTTTTTTTTTTTTTTTTTCGAGACAGGGTTTCTCTGTGTAGCTTTGCGCCTTTTCTGGATCTCACACTGTAGACCAGGCTGGCCTCGAACTCACAGAGAATCGCCTGGCTCTGCCTCCCGAGTGCCGGGTTTAAAGGCGTGCATCACCCACCGCCCGGCTGCGCCACCACCGCCCAGCCAGATCCTTTTTTTTTAAGCAGAGTTGGGCAAGTACTCCCCTGCTGAGCCACACTCTCAGCCCTCAAAGACCTCGTGTGTGTGTGTGTGTGTGTGTGTGTGTGTGTGTGTGTGTGTGTGTGTGTGTGTGTGTGTTTTTTCGAGACAGGGTTTCTATGTGTAACAGCCCTAGCTGTCCTGGAACTCACTTTGTAGACCAGGCTAGCCTCCAACTCACAGAGACCCACCTGCCTCTGCCTCCTGAGTGCTGGGATTAAAGGCGTGTGCCACCACCGCCCAGCTCCCTCAGATCCCTCCTACTGCCTGCATTAGTCTGCTTTTATTGCTGTAACAAAATAGTTGAAATATTCAACTTCTGGGGAAGAGAGGTCCATTATGGCTCATGGTTTCATAGGTATCAAGTTCATATTCACTTGGCCTTGTTGCTCTGGACCTAGATCAAGACATAACATCTTGGCAGTGTGTATGGAAGAACAGAATTGCTTGCTGCATAGCAGCTAGGAAGTAGAAAAAAAAAAAAAAGGAGAAACCAGGGCCCCAGTATCTGCTTTAAGGGCACCCATTGGATGACCTGACTTCCTTCCACTATGCCCCACCTCCTGAAGTTTCCACCACTTCCCAATGGTGCCACAGGCTGCCGATCAAACCTTCAACACAAGACCTTCAGAGGACATTTAAGGGCTGAACCATAACACTGTCCCAACCAAAGTCAGGAGCAACATCAACCTGGGGTGTCGTTTATCCACTCTGAAAAGTTCAGGTTGGGTGTTTAAGCCACCTTCAGGGTCTCACAGACGGTGCCCTGAATTTGGTCAATAGATTCCAGGTGACTTGTGCAGCTTTGCTAAGCTCAGTGACTTAGCTCCACAATGCTGCCACTTGTGGACAAGTATTTTCATGTGCAGCCTAATACAGCAAGCACCAGTCACACGAGGCTATTGCAACTTGAATTAAAATTAAACTGGGGATATAGCTTAGTAGTGAAGCATGAGCCCAACTTGCAAGAGGCCCTGGGTTTTCTTCCAAGTATTGCAAACAAACAAACAAACAAACAAAAAACACCACCACAACAACAATAACTCCAAATAAAACGTTTGGCCCCTCAAATGCACTAGCCACGTTTCCTGTGCTCAGCAGCCCTGAGCAGCAGAGATACCAAGTGTCTCCATCCAGCGTAGTTCTGTTGAACAATAGGAGCATTGCTTCGGAGCTTGTAAGATTTTCACTCTACAGATCTCCATGATAACAAAAGATCGTCCAAGAGTTCATGCCACTGCCACATGGCCCCAGGACAATCCTGGGGAGGTTGGAAGCCCAGCATGACCCCACCACGTGGCTTAGAATTCAGTGGTTTTCAACCTTCCTAACGCTGCCACCCTTTAGTACAGTTCCTCATGTTGTGGTGACCCCCCAGCCATAAAATTATTTCACTGTCCCCTCCATAACTGTAATTTTGCCATTGTTATAAATCATAATGTAAATATCTGATATGCAGGATATCTACCCTTTGACCCAAATGGGTCACGACCCACAGGTTGAGAATCACTTTCTTAGATGCTTATCATGAACTGCAGGCGTAAAAAGATTAACACAAGTAGCCAAAAATAACATCTCAATGTCCAGATTTGGATGAAGACTATAGGGACCTGTGAGCTCCTGTAATAATCATTATGACTCTGTGAGGTTTTTGTTGTTTTTGTTTTATCTGTTTTGTTTTTCTTTTTGTTTGTTTAACAGTATCTTACGTAGCCCAGGTTGGCCTCACTTGTCTATATAGCTGAGGATGACTTTGAACTTCTGATCCTGTTCTATCCACCTCCTGAGTACTTGGATACTATCACGCCTTGTTTATTGAGTGCTGGGAATTGAACCCCAGGCTTCCTACCTGTGAGGCAGGCACTCTACAAACTGAGCTGCATCACCTCCCCATATTGTGGTGCCCTTTTGTTGGTGGAATAGTCTGTCCCACCAGTCAGCTCCCAAATAACCACACAAAGACTTATTATTAATTATAAATGCCTGGCCAATAGCTTAGGCTTGTTACTAACTAGCTCTTACAACTTAAAGTAACCATTTTTATCTATCTACATGTTGCTGTATGACTAGTGGCATTTACCTGTCCTGTTATATGTCTTGCTCCCTCTTCATCTCACTGGCAACTCTGCCCTTCTTCCCAAAGTTCTCTCTGTCTGGCTCTCCTGCCTGGCTATGGGCCATTTAGCTCTTTATTAAACCAATGAGAGCAACACATCTTCACAGTGTACATAAAGATTATTCCACAACACCCTTCTCTTTCCCTTTTATTGCTGTCTCTTGTTTCCCTCCATTAAGAAACAACGAAGTAGGCAGAGCCAGGCGGATCTCTGTGAGTTCGAGGCCAGCCTGGACTACCAAGTGAGTTCCAGGAAAGGCGCAAAGCTACACAGAGAAACCCTGTCTCGAAAAACCCAAAAAAAAAAAAAAAAAAAAAAAAAAAGAAACAACGAAGTATTGCTGCCATGAGGACTAGTCTTCAGCAGCTCAGGGATTGAGGGGGACCCATAGAGTTGGTGAACTAATCACTCAACTTGACTTTTCTATCTGAGGGAGTAAGACAATTCTATGAGGCCCGCAAAAGAGGACAAAACTTAACTCTCTGGGGCCGGCGAAAAAGGGAAAAATACACACACACACACCACACACACACACACACACACACACACACACACACACACACACACACACAAACACGCACGCACCTTCAGCATGACAGGATCTCACCTAGGGTGCTGATGCATGGCAAGCCTTCAGGAGGTCAGAGAAACTGAAGAGGAGATGCATAGCAGGACAGACAGACAGACACACGAGGACTTCTCTGAAGGCCAAAGCTCAGTTATTCATTTTATTATTCTTACTGTTACTGGTTCTACTCTATTCCTTTTCTGTTTGTCTTTCTACCCTGATGTTTCCCTTCTGTCTCTCTCGACGTCTTCCTTCTAACTAACTTTAGTTTTCCCTTACAGCTTATATACCCCAGCAAAAACTTTCAAGCAGTATAAAAATTACAGTATGGTTACATTTTTTTTCATGTGAATGATTACAATGAATACAAGTGAAAAAACAGCATGTTTTCCATATTCCTTACATGATCAAACATTTTACATATTATAGGTGAAAAAAAAGTTGTCCCAAAAACCCACATACATTCGTGTCCAAGCAGCTTGTTGTAGATTAACAGAGTGTAAGCAAGCAAGGTATTTTTCTCAGCCAGTTCTCTTGCTGGCAGGCTGCATTTTGCGGCTACAAAGAAAAGATCAATCACTTTATTATTTATCTCAAAAGTTACTCTTATAAGAAATCTTAATCACAAACCTCAACTTTTATTTATGAAAAACAGTCAATCAGCTCTACTTTAAATCTTCAGGGTGCATACCCACTCATCAGCAATTATTTATATCAGGAAGCTGAGGGCAGAAATGGGTACAAGGAATTAATCATCACCGTTGATCACCAGCCCATCCTAGCAAGAAAGATTTGTCAGCCAGCAATGGCCAGGCTGCCATTGTTTTGTTCCCTGACCTCAATGAGTCCCTTGCTCAACTATTAAAAGTGTGTCTTTACAAGCTTTAAATTCTTCCCCAAGATTTTCTGCTTCAAAGCCATTAACAAAAACATCTTAACCTAACCTTATTGACAATTTTACATGTCTCAATTCTTTCTTAAGGGTGGTGATTGAACCATTAATCTGCTCCAGCAGCAAGGCTTTGAAAATGTCAATCACTATTATTGTTAAGTACTAGTAACACTGCCTGGTGAGGGACTAGAGCCCCCTGAGAGTTTTCATACAACCCATGGATTATGAGGGATGTGGTGACCACGAAGGCAACAGTCAGAGCTCTGCTCAATAACAGCATGAGGCCCTCAGGACACCTCATCCTCGGGGCTTTGCCTCTCCAAGGCTCACTCAGGCGTGGCTTTGCCAACAGCCCAGCCATGTTCCACGAGTCCCAGTGCTACCTGTTGGTCCCCTGGCCTGGCCCCCGACACAGAAGAGTTTGGGATGTGGCTCACAAGCACTTGATTAGCTGACGTGAGGCCCTGAGTTCAATCCGTAGACAACCCCCTCCTCCCCACAGTAAAGACAAGAAACAGCAGAGGGGCTAGTGGAGGGCATGAGCCAAGTACAATGATATACCTGTGTGAATGTCATAATGAAACCTTTTATTTTGTGTGTGTGCCAGTGAAAAGATGGGAGAGGTCGGGAGGGAGGGAGAGAGGGAGGGAAGGAGGGAAGGAGGATGGAGGGAGGGGAAGGGAGCAGAGAGGGACCAGGAGTGTAGCTCAGTAGCAGCGTACACATGATGCCCACAATAACTGCAAAACAAATCATCCAGAATTTACCACCTGACCACTTCCCTTCACACCCAAGCTGGTGGCAGCCGTGGAGGGACCATTCTGCGGTCACAGAGGAAAGCTGTCCAGACTCTTTCTCATCTTTCCCTCCGGTTTTCACCCACAGTCCAAACCAAAGGACGGCGATAAAGAAGGAACATCAAATTCCACCTCGGAAGATGGGCCGGGGGACGGTTTCACCATCCTGTCTTCCAAGAGCCTCGTTCTGGGGCAGAAGGTAATAAACTCCGGACGGGGCTGCAGTGAGCCTGTCTGTATACACCCCTGTTCACAGGCCACCATGCCTCCTCCGTCCCTTCCTCTCTTCCATTCTGCTCTTGAATTATCCCTTTTTTTTCCCCCTTGGTTTTTCAAGACAGGGTTTCTCTGTGTAGCTTTGTGCCTTTCCTGGAACTCGCTCTGTAGCCCAGGCTGGCCTCGAACCCACAGAGATCCACCTGGCTCTGCCTCCCGAGTGCTGGGATTAAAGGCGTGCGCCACCACCGCCCAGCGAATTATTCATTTTTAAAGGAACAGGCGACATATGCATTCCTAGAGCAAACTACATCTTTGGTGCTAAGAATGGCTTGTGCTGGTCAACCTAAGGTCAGCCTAGAGAATCTGGTCAATAGGTGACATTCCTGGTTCTGCTGGGGAAATCCCCAAGCCCCAATTATGTCCGTACCCACCAAGAAAAATCCATTGCTAACTCCCAGCCAGGATCGAAGAGGCCTAGCTTCCAAGATTAAATGTCATTTAACAGAGGGAGAGAATAGCAATATATGTTTCTTGAATGTGCCGGGTGCTAGAAATGAATTATTTGTCAATAATTCAGTCTGCCTGCCTTCCTGAGCTGCAGAAAAAAAATAAAATAAAATAAAAACCTAACAGGATGGATTCCAGCAACATCTCAGCATCCTGCCAGATATGCGAATAATTCATCTCTGTGCACGGCGAATTCACTGAGCAGACGGTTTATCTGTCAAGTCAACCGGGCTGCAATAAGACACACAGGGAAATAGCCAATGAGTCAGAGAGCCGGATCTCTGGTTCCTGCCTGTCCTCAGCCTGCCGAACAAGTACATCTCCATCCAGACAGCTGGGGATCACTAGGTCTCTAGGGAGCAGAGATGTAGCGGGTTCCTTATTCATTTCTGATGCAAAGAAAACTGAGCTGCAAAGAGGTGGGATGCATGCCCCCTCCAGGGCCATGAACATTCTCCCAAACATATCTTAGAGTATCAGAAAGTTCCCACTCATGTTAGGAAAACAGTGGGAAATGCTCTTCATCCTACTCTGCCAAAAAAACCACACCGGACAGCCCCAGGAACATGGTACTCGAGCTGAGGATGTAGCTCAGGGATAGAGTGCTCACCTGGCGCACAGAAGGCCTTGCGTGGATCCATAGCACAGAAGAAGGATTGGGGAGGAGGCAGTTGTCACAGGTAGGGCAAGGTGGGAACCCAGAGTCTACTCCTTCTCCACAGCAAGACTACTGACCTCCCCAGATGTTCTGGACTATCTTGGGTGAGAAGAGAGCAAGCCTCGGGCTGCTTTCCACACAGAGCTAATGAGGGGATGTGTCCGTGGAGACCGAGGCCACCAGGGTCAGGAACGAAAGAAAAAAAGAGGAAGGGAGAGCCTGTTTCTGGTCCTGGCAGCGGAGGCTGCCTGTTCGCGCTCTCAGGCCTCAAGAACTCCTGAACTTGGAGTCTGCTCAAAAGCAAACACCTGGAAGCCTGGCATGGTGACCCAGGCCTATAATCCCAGCATTAGGAGGTGGAGGCGGAAGGAGCTGAAGGCAAGCATGGGTTACCTAAGTGAACTCAAGCCCAGCCTAAGCTACCTGAGGCCCTATCTCAAAACCAAACAAATAGCTGAGAATTTGAGCCCCCGTGCTGAACGTCAACCTGAATAGTTGAGACAAATAATGCGGACGGTTACATTAAAATGGTCTTCAGCGGGAGTTGACCTTGCCCCTGTTCACCGTCTTCTCTTCCTAACGCAGCTATCCCTGACCCAAAGTGACATCAGCCATATTGGCTCCATGAGGGTGGAGGGCATCGTCCACCCAACCACAGCCGAAATCGACCTCAAGGAAGAGATAGGTAAGGCCTGGCTGGGGTTTGGAGAGGTGTCATGGTGTAGCCCACTGTCCAGACAAGTTCTCATGGACTCACTCATCCTCTGCCTGAGGTCCCATGTGGAAATGTCTCTCTGTGGGATAAAAAGGTCTCACTGGAGAGGAATAGACTTTGCTTTGATTCTACACAAATTTTGTGAAGTTTTTCTTAGGGTGCAATATAGAGACAGACCGTTTATGTACAACTTAATGACATTGTCTCAAAGTGACCGAGCTCAGCGCGCTCAGGTACTTGCCTAGTAGTGTGCACAAAGCCCGGGCTCACTCCTCAGCACGCCATAGGCTGGGTGTTCTCTATCACGTGTGTGATAGTGGCATTCAGAAGGTGGAGGCAGATGCATCAGAAATTTAAGATTGTCCTTGACCATGTAGGAAGTTTGAGGCTAGCCTAAGCTACATGAGACCTTGTCTCAAAGCAAAGAGTGAACACCGCTGTACAGCCAGCACACTGGGGAGCAGACCCTCACCAGAAGCCCTTCCAGTCCCACCCCTTATTATGATTTCCTGTAGAGGAAAGCGGTCCTCTAATGGCGCAGATGGGGCTTGTTTTGCATTTCATTTAAATAGCCCCATATGCTCCTCGAACCTCGCTCCTTTAGCCCAACTTAGTGTCTGCAAAACCCTCCCCAAGCTACTGAGTGTGTTTGTTTATTTTCCTGGCTGTGTGGCATTTCACTGCGTAAATATGCCACCTTGTGGGTTCCATTCTGTAGCTGATGGCGGCACCTGGGTCATTTTCATGTGAGGCCATCCCGAGCGCTGCCACTATGAACGTGGTTGCGCAAGCTCTGGGTTCCACCGCGCATGCGTTCTAAAGCTCGCATGTCGAGAATGCGGTTGGTGAAAAGGAAAGGGACGGAGATACGGGAACTTGGGGGGTACACCACTGTAATTTCTGCCCTGAGGGAGCAGACGGGAGGGTTATGAACTGCATATGGAGATCCTATTTCAGTACTCTCCCCTCCCCGCCCCCCCCCCAAAAAAAGATAAAGGGCATGTAGAAAGCCATCTCTAAGGCGGCATTATTGTGCCGACGCCGTGAGTGGAGAAGGAAGCTGTAAGCAGTGAGGTAAAGGCGGGCGAAGTAACAGCAAACACAGTGGCCACTCTCTGGTCCATTTGCTGCCATGGGGTCCATTTTCACAATACAGAACTGTTCTAAACCCTCCATTGAAGGGCACATGGAGCAAAGAAAAGGCCTGGACCCCGGGACCCAGGGCTGGCCCTGGGGTGAGTGGTTTGAAGCCATAGTTAGCCGCTCATCCCTAGGTGGTGGCCCCAGACCGCTGGACTCACTAAATCTCGGGCACCAGAGGCCACTTGCTGTGCTGGAAAGCAGGTGGGGTGGCGCTCAGCGATAACAGAACTACAAAAACAGTCTTGTGTCTTGCCATATGACAGACCCCCGACATTGCCTCCTCCTGGGCGTTAGGAGGAAGGCTCTCCCCACCGTGGAAAGGCGCCCCCTAGTGGCCGAATCTCCAGCTCTGTTTTGCTTGGTGTCTTTAATTGCAAGCAAAGCAAGTTCCAGTTTCAGACATCCTCAGAGTTCTGCATTTTTGTGTCCAAAACATCAAAAGAGGTGCTTCTCTATTTTGAAGCAGGGTGGGGTGGGGTGCCCAGTTGTGGTAGCAAAAGGTCAAGTTTGGACCCCACTGGTGGACCCTGTGGCTGACCTCTTGGTGGTCAGAGGAGGTGAGATGGGCTGAGAGGCAGGCAGGCAGGCAGGCAGGTGACCAACCACTGAGTCGCCTTGGTCTCCCTCCAGGCACTCACAGGTCACTTCCTAGCGTGTGACTTCGGGTGTGTTTCCTAACCGCCCTGAACCTCCATTTCCTCATCCGTAAGTGAGGATACAGTCGTACTCACAGGTGCTCTGGAGACCAGATGGCACGGGGCTGGATGTCACACCAGCTCACACCTACTCCCTAACTGACGGGTCTTTATTGTTGCCGCGTTACTCGGAGACACACCATCGTGAATCCATCCTGTACCACCCGCGCCCAAGCCAGTCATGCTGTCCAGCCCAGGCCCTGACTGATCTGTTTTTTAAGTCTTGTGCTAGGCGATTCAAGTGTAGCTTGGTGGTAGAACCCACGCTTACTATGCACAAAACCCTGGAGTCAATCCGCAGCACAGAAATTAAAACGTAAAGACATCTACTGCCAGCCAGCCCCATGGCCTGAGTTTGATCCCCGGGACCACATGGTAGAAGTAGAGAACCAACTCACCCAAGTTGTCCTTTGACCTGTACACACACACACACACACACACACACACACACACAGTGAAGCGGGGTGGAGTGGGGGGGAGTCTCTTAACCTGTGGCCTCTCCTGCCCCCACACTTCTTTTTGCTGAGAAGCCAGGCTGATTTTCCCCCAGTCTGGATTTTATCGCTTGCAGTCTCACTAAACACATTTCTACCTGTTTATCTGTTTAAATTGATGGTAGTTCTAGAGACTTCAAGACATTCGGGCTCAAGAAATAGGGTCTAGGGCAGTGGTCCTCAGCCTGTAGATACAGACCCTTTTAGAGATAGAATGACCCTTTCACACAAGGAGAAAACACAGACCACCAGAAAACACAGATATTTACATTATGATTCATAACAGTAGCAAAATTAGAGTTATGAAGTAGCAATAAAAATAATTTTATGGTGGTGAGGGGTTGTACCACAACTTGAGGAACTGTATCAAAGGGTCACAGCATTGGTCTAGGGGGATGGCGCTATGGTCGAGCGTTTTCTGGGTTCAATGCCCAGCACTAAAAGACACCTGGACAAGACTCCATGGCCAGCGACACACCATTGTGGCATTACGTCTCCTTTGGTGAGGGACTGTCATGATGCCCCATGATGTCAGCTTAAGCACTCCTCGGTGGTTGGGAATTGGTGTAATTCTAGCACGGATGTGAGCCACCATGCCCCGTTTATTCTGTGCTGGGAACTGAACCCATAGCTCCCTGCGTTCCAGGCAAGCCCCACACAGACTGAGCCACAGCCCCCACGCCCACTTCATTGTCAACCTTAATTAACCCCCTAAGCTAGGGAGAAGAGTGGGCTCACCTTGCCTCCCACACAATTCCATCTGACCCCTGACCCCAAATGCAGAGTGCAGCAGTTTGGACTTAGGTGCCAGTTTCAGTCCCCAACTGTCTCCAGGCTTCTGGGAGCCGGAAATGAGACTCAGAAATGTGTGGTGTCACAAGTACCATTTCCTGGTTGTGTCTCTGAGACCTGAGCTACTTGAGGAAGAAGCCCCATCTACAACCCCAGGGGAGAATGATTGTCTAGACACTGATGTAAGTTCATCGATGCGTTCTGGCTCTCCAGAGATACGTGAGTGCGTGCCTGAGTTCGGAGTGAAGCTGTGTCACCCACAGAAACCTCTGAGCCGAGTGATCCCAATGACGAATAATAACAATAAGTGCTTGGGATTAGAAGTGTTTCGGATTTGGGACGATTCAGGGATATGTGCATGTGCATAATGAGATGTCCTGGGGATGGGACCCAAGTCCAAATGCAAAATGATCCCTGTTCCCCAGAGACCCTCTACACAGTGGTGAATGGCCGCAGCAGGCAGGCAGGAGCAGCTCATGCCCCCTCTGGTGTTCAAACACCAGCAGGCCCTGGGTGTTGGCACCCTCAGCCCTGTGTCCCCGCTCTTCTGTATACCTAGGATTCTTCAGCCCTCGGCAGTGGGCAGGCTTAGGCGTCAAGATTCCTCAGCACTTGCAGATGGTCAGGGCTGCAGCTCCTGGGCCTGGGGTGTCTAGGACCCTTGGGTTGCCCTGCCCCTTGGTTCCTGCCCTCAAGCAGCCCAGCTGTCAGTCAGCGCCTAACCACCTTTGCGGCCGAAACTGCCAACTGCTGTTATCCCCACTGCCTGCATCGTGATAAGTAAGCAAGAAAAGAGCACTTGAGGGAAGCCTTTTATGGACACCATGCATGCACAGGGTGCACAGACATCCACGCGGGCAAAACACCCATACACATACAAAATAGATGCGCTTGTAAAATGCTTTTTAGAAGAACTTATTATTAACACCAATAGTGACTTCAACAGATTTTTAACAGTGTTTTGGCAATGAATGACACCTTCCCGAGAGTGTTCCCGAGAGAGAGGTTCCCCTCACGTGTCTCACACTTAGCTGGGAGGTGATTTTACAGAATATTTTTAGTGGCCCTGGGTTTTGACAGCGATCCACCCATCCCATGAGATTCCAGGTGTGGAGTCTTGCACTAGCTCCATTGTGGTGGGATTTGGAAAGGTTTGGATTTGGGATCTTCAGATTGGGGTGTTCCACTTTGCTGGGACGTGGTTCAGTGGCAGATTATCTGCTTAGCATGGGGGAGGTCTTAGATTCTCTACTCAGCAGTACAAGAGAGGAAGAGAGAGACCGAATGTGTGCGTGCACTTGCATGCATGCCTCTGCATGTGTGCGTGTGTGTGTGTGTATCCTTTAACAAAGATTGTCATTCTCTAGAGGTCTCTCTGACCTCTGTGTAGTGCCGCCAGTAACCACTGGCAAGCCAGGGTAACAAATGGGACATGTCATTCCTAGTTTTTAAGTTAGTTTTAAGTTACTAAGATGCCCAACAATATGAATCTATTGAAAGATCATTCACCACGGCCTCCATTGTTCTTCTTTGTAGGAAAAGCCTTGGAAAAGGCTGGGGGTAAAGAGTTCTTGGAAACAGTAAAGGAGCTTCGCAAATCCCAAGGCCCTTTGGAAGTTGCTGAAGGTAAGTGTGAGTCTGGGCTGCATCTCAGCCTGACTCAAGGGCACCCTTGCAGTCTCCAGCTTCCCACATCCATACACGGTCACTGTATACAACAGGATACGCCATCCCTAAAGCTCACGTAAAAAAGCCAGTCACATTCATTGTCACAGGCGTGTGACTCCAATGGTCGGGAGGTAGAAACTGGAGGATCCCTGGGGCTCATTGGCCAGCCAGTCTAACCTACTTGGTGAGGTCTAGGCCAGTGAGAGTCTGTTTCAAAGGAGGTGGCCAGTGTCCCTGAGGATAACACCAAGACTTCCTCTAGCCTCTACACACACACATTGTGGTGGTTTGAAAGAAAATGGTCCCCAGAGGGAGTGGCACTATTAGGAGGCATGGCTTTGTCAGAGTGAGTGTGGCCTTGTTGAAGGCTTGAGGTGAAGCAGAGTAGCAAGCAGGGTGGCATCTGGCCAGATGGCTCAGTGGACCAAGACACTTGCTGCCAAGCATGACCACAGATCACTGCTCAAAGCAGTGGCCATCCCCATGAGGTTACACCACGTGGTACAGCACCCACCCAGCATGTGTGAGGCCCTGGATTCCATTCCCAGTACTGACAAAGAAAAAGCCAGAATAAAACTCCCATAGCTGGGACTAAAGAGGTGACTCAGCAGTTGAGAGCACTGGCTCCCCTTCCAGAGGACCCGGGTTCGATTGCCAGCACCCTCCCAGCAGCTCAGTCTGTAACTCCAGTCCCAAGGTACATAGACATACATGCAGACAAAACACTGTACACAATTAAAAAAAAAAAAAAAAAACCTCTCCCACAGCCTTCCACCCAGGGCTGTCATTGGTGCAAGACCTGTGCCTTCTAAGACAGAGAGAGCAGAGAGTCCTCACCTGGGCCTGGGCCACACTGTTCACAGTTACTAAATGTGAGATGCCCCCCGTAGGTCCACGTATCTGAACACTTGGTTCCCAGCAGGCATCAGTATTTGGGAAGGTTGGGGAACCTTTTGGGATGAGGCCAAACTAGGGGAAGTGAGGATGGCGCCATAGGCTAATGGATTGTAGCCTGAGAGTTCCTGTTCACGTTCTTCTTTCTGATCCTGGGTAACCCGCCACCTCATAGTCACTGACTGGAAATACCCGGGAGGCCAAGTAATTTCCACTGAGGACATTGTCGCCTCAGTCTGTGAGCTGAAATAAATCCTTTGTCCTCTAAGTAGCTTCTGTCAGGATCCTGCCACAGTGCTGGCTTCCCTCTGTCCTTAGGACTCAGGCAGAGCTCTGAGTCAGCTGTTGAAGAGTTTACCTGGTCTGGGGGACTGGGGTCTGGAGGAGGCTCCCAGCAAGTGCCTGGGAAGGTGAGAGAAAAACATCCAGGCAAGAAGCTCTGACATGTTTTTAAGCAGCATTCAAAAGTTGTGAGTGAAAGGTAAAGTAGTCCTTAAAAGAGTTCTCAGCAGGGAACTTTCCAGAATTAAATGCAAGTTCAGGTTGAAAATGTTGGGCCAAACAAATGAAAGTAAGTCCTGAACCTGGCCCATCACAGTGGCCAGTCGGGGGTTCAGAAGTCAAGAGGAACCATGAAAGCTGCCCGAGAGGAGAGGTGGACGGGCATCTATAAGGAAGTGGAAGTGGAAGCTGATGCGATAGCTCGGCCAGTGAAGAGTCCCACCATGGGCTAAAAGCCTAAGTTCAGCCCCTGGGACCCTCTCCATGGAAGAACTGGCTCCCGTGTTGACATATGTGTACTGGGACCTACATGCATTAGTGTGCACACACATGCTCTTGCATGCACATGTGCATGCGTGTGTGCAGATATACACACACAAATATGATCCCCCCCAAAAAAAAAAAATCCAATTTTCAAAATAAGATGAGTAGCAGCTGACCTTGCCTCACAGAAGGGTAGCAAGTTCTGCGCATGATCTTGGCATTAGTTGGATGGTGTCTTAGATGCTATTCTATTGTGGTGAAAAGACACCACAGCCAAGACAAGTTAGAGAAGAAGGAGTTTATTGGGGGCCTACAGTTTCAGAGGGTGAGTCTGTGGCCATCGTGACAGGAAACATGGCTGCAGGCAGACATGCATGGTGCTGGAGCAGTAGCTAAGAGTTCACGCCTTGATCCACATGCAGGAGGCAGAGAGAAAGCTAACTAAGAACAGCATGGACTTTTGAAATTTCAAAGTCAGGCCCCAGTGACACACCTCCCCCAACAAGGCCACACCTCCTAGTCCTTCCCAAACAGTTCCACCAACTGGAGGCTAAGCTCATTCAAATGCATGAGCCTATGGGGGCATTCTCATTCAAACCACCATGAGGGGGGAAAAATGCCTAGGAAATATGAGCTATAAGCCAATGCTTCAGAAAACAGGCAGCCCAGGACTGCTTAAATTCTCACACACAGAGGCTCATGGGACCTGACCTCAGCAGATGAAGGACATGCATTTTGTTGTTGTTTTTTGGGGTTTTGTTGTTTTTTGAGACAGAGTTTCTCCATGTAGTTTTGGTGCCTGTCCTGGATCTTGTTCTGTGGACCAGGCTTGGCCTTGAACTCACAGAGATCCACCTGGCTTTGCCTCCCCAGTGCTGGGTGCTGGGATTAAAGGCGTGTGCCACTGCCAACCAGCTGAAAGACATGCATTTTATTTCTGGAAGAGCTTAGGTCTCCTGCAAGCTGACAGCAGTCATGATACAAAGATACTAAAACATGTGAAAACATTTACCTCTTAGAATTGATAAAAGGACCAATTACAGTCCAGGCCCTAACACAGCTGCCCTTGCCAGACCCTGCTGGAAGCCCGTGTGACTCCAGGCATGCTCTCCAAGCCAGACCAGTCCATGCTGAGCCTCCAACATACGCGCTGTGCTGTGGGTGTCAAATGTGGCCCTGAATCAAGAGATTTATAGCCAATGAGAGCCCCAGGGTCACACAATGCATCTCTTATCCAGGCTACCCAGTTGCATGATGGAGGCTCAGAAAAGATGGGCAAAAGAGCTGGGGAGTGAAGGACACAACCAAGCCTGGGGACAGAGGCAACACCTCTGATGATTGATGGCCACAGGGACTTCCCTCAAACTCCTCAATAGCCATGGCTCTTACTGATGGGGGATAAAAAGTTTAGGAGGATAAAAAGTCCTTATAAACGAAAGAGAGAGGGAAGGAGTTTGGTAGTTTGTCATTGGCCCCGCATAAGCTCATGGGGAGTGGCACTGTTAGGAAGTATGGCTTTGTTGGAGAAGGTATGACCTTGTTGAAGGAAGTGTCACTGTGGGGGTGGGCTTTGAGATCTCATATATGCTCAAGCCAGTGTCTCAGACCACTTCCTGTTGCCTGTGGGATCAAGATGTAGCTCCTTCCCCACTCTCAACTCCTTCTCCAGCACTGTCTGCCTGCATGCTGCCATGCTCCCTACCATGATGATAATGGACTAAATTTCTGAAACTAGAAGCGACCGATGAAACACTTTCCCTAAGAGTTGCTGTGGGGGCTGGAAAGATGGCTCAGAGGTTAAGAGCACTGGCTGTTCTTCCAGAGGTCCTGAGTTCAATACCCAGCAACCACATGGTGGCTCACAACCATCTATAATGAGATCTGGTGCCCTCTTCTGGCTTGTAGACAGAACACTGTATGTGTAATAAATAAATCTTTAAAAAAAAAAAAAAAAGAGTTGCTGTGGTCATGGTGTCTCTCCATAGCAATAGAAACCCTAAGACAGGGAGGGAAGGAAGGAGGAAAGGGACTAGAGAGGTGGCTCAGAGGTTAAGAGCACAGGCTGCTCTTGCAGAGGACTCGGGTTCAATTCCCAGCACCCATATGTCAGCTCACAACTGTCTGTCACTCCAGGTCCAGGAGATCTGGCGCCATCTTCTGGCTGCCAAAGCAGCGCACGCAGGTGGTGCAGACATAGGCAGAACATCCATACACATAAAATAAAGTAACTTTTAAAAAAGAAAAAGGAAGGAGGGCCTAGAGAGATGGCTCAGCAGTTAAGAGCACTGGCTGCTCTTCCAGAAGACATGGGTTCAGTTCCCAGCATCCACATGGTGGCTCACAACCGTATTTAACTCCAGTCCCAGGGAGGTTGCCCTTTTCTGGTCTCCTCGGGCACTGCATATGTACAGTACACAGAGATACATGCAGGCAAAATACCCAGACCTATAAAAACATTTGTTTTAATTAAACCTTGCCAGGTGGTGGTGGTATACACCTTTAATCCCAGCACTTGGGTAGGCAGAGGCAGGCAGATCTCTGAGTCTGGTCTACAGAGTGAGTTCCAGAACAGCCAGAACTGTTACACAGAGAACCCCTGTCTTGAAAAACTGAAAAGAAAACAAAACAAAAAAAAACCAGCCAGGTGCTGTGGCACATACCTCACACCTTTAATCCTGACATCATGGCAAGTCAACAAAGCTAACCAGTGTGGTACCCTGACAGTCCATCACCAGTGTCCTTAACTGCAGTCACAAAGTGCCCTTGGCCATGTCAGTGAACAGTTAAGAACCCAGGGATTTGGACTTTTGGAGATGGCTGTTATTCAATCTCCCACAGCACCAGATGTGACTTTGATATGTTCCTGTCACTAGGATCCACCGAGGTGGTTCCTGACTTTCGAATCTTCCAGGGTCTCACAGGGTCGCCTCTGAGGCCCAGTATCAACACCCAGCTTAAGGTGAGACTCAGGAAATAACCTACCGCCTTTCTCTCTCCTGTGTCCCAGCTGCCGTCAGCCAATCCAGTGGACTCGCAGCCAAATTTGTCATCCACTGTCACATCCCCCAGTGGGGCTCCGACAAATGTGAAGAACAGCTGGAAGAGACCATCAAGAACTGCCTGTCGGCAGCGGAGGACAAGAAGCTGAAGTCCGTCGCCTTCCCGCCTTTCCCTAGCGGCAGGTAGGACACAATTTCTGAGTTGATGTTCCCAGCCTTTCTGTTGGGAACCAGCTACTCATCAACATGTCCACATTCCATCGGCCCATTCTAGAAGACACACCCAAGGTCTGCCAGCATAGCCAGCGTGTTGGGTAGGCAACAGAATAAGAAACCCAATTTCCTACCTTCCAAACAGACAAGCCCCTGGCCTGGGATGGCAAGCGTGGGACCAGCTTTCCTGCCTTGTTGATATCAATCCCCAGAACAGAAAGACACCCTGGGTAAGGCCAGGTAGCATTTTAGTTTTGTGTATGCTTATGGGTGCACACGTATGTCCTAGGTGTACATGTGTGTGTGGAGACCAGTGTCACTAATATTCTCTTGTTGCTGTGATAAAACATTCTGTCCTGAAGTAATTTAGGGGAGCAAAGGGTTTATTTGCCTTACACTTCTAGGTCACAGCCTCTCATTGAAAGAAGTCCGGCAGGAGTTTGATAAGGAAACCCTGGGCAAATGCTGCTTGCTGGCTACTCCCTGGCTTATAGCTTTTTAATACAACCCAAGATCATCTGCCAAAGGAATGGTGTTGCCCACAGTGGGCTGGGCCCTTCCCTATCAATCATCAGTCAAGACAGCCCCTCCCAGACATGGCTACAGGCCAGTCTGATCTGGGAAATTCCTCACCTGAGGTTTCCCCTCTCTGATGACCTAAGCTATCCGTCTTGTTTTTATTTTGAGAAAGGGCCTTATTAGGTCATCGTGGCTAGCCTGGAAATCACTAAGTAAGTTAGGCTAGTATGTAGCAGGAATCTTAAAAGTTCTTACTAATAAAATCAAACCTGAGGCCAGTTATTGGGGTGAATACTGGAAGATCAGAGAGACAGAACAGGCCACAGCCACCTCACCTGGCCAACTTCTCAGCTGGTCTTGTTTCCTCAGACTGGAAGCCTCTGTGTCCTCATATCCGAATGGCTCTCAGCTGAACTGCTGCTCAAAAGCCTGAAAGCTTAACCAGCCAAATGCTTAACCAGGCCAAATGCCTCTAGTTCCTGGTCCTCACGCCTTATATATCTTTCTGCCTTCTACCATCACTCCCTGGGATTAAAGGCTCACTCCCTGAGATTAAAGGCATGTGTCACCATGCCTGGCTATTTCCAATGTGGCCTTGAACTCACAGAGATCCCAGATGGATTTCTGCCTCTGGAATGCTAGGATTAAAGGCGTGAGTGCCACCATTTTCTGGCCTCTGTATCTAGTGGCTGTCTGTTCTCTGACCCCAGATAAATTTATTAGGGTGCACAATATTTTGGGGAACACAATACCACCACATTTCCCCTTTTTTGTCTAAAATTTAAAAAAGCTTATAACTAATACAAGAAAAACTATATCCAATAAGTATATACAATATTCAGTCAAGATTACATTAACAATGTCTAGTCCATTAAACTCAGAGACATCTGCCTGCCTCTGCCCGCTGAGTGCTGAGATTAAAGGTGTGCACCACCACACTCTACCACCTTGGGTTTTGGTTGCTCTTGGTTTGGTTTGGGGATTGTTTGTTTGTTTGTTTGTTTGTTTGAGATAGGGTCTGACCTGGAGGTGGTGGACCATGTCTTTAGTCCCAGCACTAGGGAGGCAGAGACAGGCAGATCTCTGAGTTCGAGGTCAGCCTGGTCTACGGAGCGAGTTTCAGGACAGCCAGAGCTGCAGAGAAACTCTATTTCAAAAAACCAAAACAGAAAAAGGTAAGTGTCTCACTATGTAACCTTGACTGGCCTGGAACTCATTATGTAGATCAGGCTAGCCTTGAACTCACAGAGATCTTCCTGCCTCTGCCTCTCCAGAAAGGTGTGTGTTGCCATGCTGGGCTTACCATCTTCTTCTTTTTTCTTTCTTTTTTTGTGAAAGCGTCTCACTGGTTTTAAGCTAACCAATCAGGTTAGGCTGACTGGCCAGCAAGTCTCAGGGATCCACCTGTCTTCACTTGCCCAGCATTGGGGTTACCGACATTATCAACGTGCCCAGCCTTGTTATATCTATTCTAAGAAACTCAGGTCTACATGCTTGTATGGCAAGCACTTTCCCGCTGAGCCGTCCCCACATCACGCCCCATGTTTCTTTCTAAAAGCTTGTTATGTTCAGAACCCACATCCCCACCCTTGGTCCTCGCCTAGAACACAAGATCAGAAAACCCTAGGCTCACAGGCCTTGCTAATGTACGTGTGGTCGGTGAACCACCAGCAGCATCCCCTGGTTATAGATCTGGCCCCTGGGCCGCACCCCAGACCTGCTTCAGGAGCCCCAGGGAATGCTCTGGAGGGCAGCAGAGGAGGAGGCTAGGGCTTTGATGACTGTACCCAGAGCAAGGGAAGGTTCTCACTGCAGCTTGGAAAGCTGAGGACAAACTGTTGAGCACTATGGGATGTATCCTCCATGATCAGACTGTGTTCCATGCAGAGACACTCAAGAGAATTCAGGAAGTAGGCATATCCTAGACGCTTGGACCTACCCCAGGTGTCTTGTTGACTGACCCCAAATGGTCAAGGTCTGTGGCTGTGTCCCTAGGAGCTGGTGAACAGCACTTATCAGTGATTCCCTAGTGGTTGGGGTCTTCAGGGAACTTTCACCAACCCAGCCTGCCCAAAGTAGCTGAAATCACAGTGGCATGTTCGTGTGAGTCAATGAAAGACTAAGAGCCCGTGGATTTGGCTTTTGCTTTGTTTATGGAGGCGGGGTCTTGAACCGATCCTCCTGCCTCCAACTCCCAAGTGCTGATATTTCAGACATACGCCGCCGTGCCTGCTTTATGCGGTGCTGGGGGCCTAACTCAGCATGTTAGACACAAACACTGACCAACTGAGCCCCAGCCCCAGCAAGTTTGAAAGGCCCTTGTCCGATAATCTAGCTAGCATGTAAACTGGTTTGAAGGAGCTAACAAAACAAACAAAACATGTTTGCTTTTTGAAGATATGGTCTTATAAATGTGGAATCAATAGACTTCACAAAGTCAAAATTCCTTGAAATCAGCTGACACAGATTCAAATCTGGAACATCCTTTACGTACCAGCTCTGTGATCTTGGCTGAAATCATCATATCTGAGACAGCGTGATAACTATGTAGCAGGGACATCTCCACCTACCCATGTCTTCCTCTTGACTAGTGCCAGAGAAGGTGATTTGTGGAGTGGCCCTGTGCCTGGTGAGTCCCACGCTGTACAAACAAGGGTCAAGGGCCAGAATCAGAAGAAACTGTTAGCGGGGTGTGGTGGCCCATGCTTTGAATCCCTGCGCTCTGGAAGGCAGAAGTAGGCAGATCTCGGAGTTCATGGTCAGCCTGGTTTGCACAGTGAATTCCGGGCTAGCCAGGGCTCCATAGTGAGACCCCGTCAAAACAAAAAACAAAAAGAAACCCATGTCCCTCTTCCCAAACTAAGAATTACAGCGGTAGGTACAGGGACCAAAATGACATGGGCTCTTCTTTTGTTTGGGCACAGAAACTGCTTTCCCAAACAGACCGCCGCCCAGGTGACCCTCAAGGCCATCTCTGCCCACTTCGATGACTCAAGCGCGTCCTCGCTGAAGAACGTGTATTTCCTGCTCTTCGACAGCGAGAGCATCGGCATCTACGTACAGGAGATGGCCAAGCTGGACACCAAGTAGCTCTCCAGCGGGGATGGAGGAGGACCAGTGTCACGTCACAAGAGCAGGGGTTTTATTTTTTAAAAGGATTGAGAAAGGGTGACATGGCATGGGAGCAGAGGGCGGCTGAGAAGGTAGCAAAGGCCGTGGGAACAGGTCCTGCCTGCCTGGGGAAGGGGCCCAGCGCATTTTATATTCTCTTTACAAAGGGCCTCTCCCGAAATTAACCAGGTCTCCGCCAGGGGTTTCTTTCCATGTGTTTTCTTCCTGTTGTTTTAGAACTTTTTTTAAAAAAACAAACAAACATAAAAATAGACCTTGTTTAGATTTATAGCACTGACTTTTACTCTCTCTCTCTCTCTCTCTCTCTCTCTCTCTCACACACACACACACACACACACACACACACACACAAGTCTTTTCAAAAGGTCTTAAGACTTTGGTTCCTCCTCTTTCCAAGTGAAGAGGGTGTGACGGCCACTTGGGTGTATTGGTTGTCTCCCTCAGTGAAGAGAAGATGGGAAAGACGTTCTAGGGTGCTTTTCTCTTCTGTTATAGGGTCCCCTCCCTGACCCCTAAAATATTTGTAACTACACCTAAAAGGATTTTTGCCTCGGGATCTTTCTTTGTTCAGTTTTGTTTTTTAAAGAAAAAGAAAAATGAAAGGAAAAAAAAAGATCCAGTGTCTTTCTTATAACATAACCGTTTATTACCACAGTTCCTCCTCTTGGGAAACTGTGTCTCCATGGGTAGATTCTTCTAGAGTGTTGTAAAGAAACTTCGCAAGGCCAGTCACTGAAGAGTCTCACCGTGCTCTCTAAGGCTCCTGGTCAGCCAACGTCATGGCAGGCTTTCTGCGGGTGGCTGATCCTACCTTCAGAGAGGGTGAGTCTGCTGTCTAGCATCCACAAACAGTCAACCTGGGCACAAAACTGCCAATGGATCCTCATTCTCTGGGCGAGAGACTCAAGTCTCAGCTGCAGCCTGTGCAACTAAATGGAATAGACCTTAGCCATAATCCAAAGGGGGCTGGACTGGAAGCCCCAGGGTGACTACTGGTCAAGGACTCCGCCACCCATAACCGGAGGCCAAGGCCAAAAGCAAGCAGGAAGAGGCAGGGTGGAGAGAGTCATGCCTGACTCTACCGGAGTGGCCTCACAGTCTCCTCTGCCATAGACACTCAACTTAGGCCATGCACAGTTGGCTTTTCCCTTCTAGACGAGCTCACTTGGATAAAGAAGTCATTCGTGTACCTTAGCAGTCTATAGTAGATATGATGGCCAGTGAGGGCCCAAGTGACAGGAGCTGGCCAGGAAATCGGCAGCATGGCCTCCCACCCCCACCCCCACCCCCAGCCTGCAATGATAACCTGGAAATCACTAGCAATCATCCACAGATGCCCATCTGATCTCTGAAGATCAAGCAGCTAGTAACCTCCTCAAGTCACGGGTCTCCTTCCTGGGATTCCTATGGTAGTTGGCAAAACGGGTTTCCCTTAGCCCCTCACCCTGCTAGGATAGTGTTTGAATAACTGTCCTCAAGAGCCAAGCAACTGTCATCCTGGGGGGGTTCAGCTGCTCCCCTTTTTAAAAGGACTGTCCCAGCTGGCCCTGTTGACTTTTTATCCCCTCATGGAGTGGTGGGGAGGCAGGAGACCCTCACCTGTGTATCCAGAAGCTCCCAACCACCTGTTGTGTGCAACGCTGACTTAATTACATGTGGCCTCAAGGGGCTAGAGCATATAGGCCGGGAAAGGCTAGGAGAGAGGTGCTCCATTTATGCTGCCCCATAGCTAGGAAGCTCTCATCCCTGCTGGTTAAAGGTTTCCAGGTTTGGCCTATTAGGGAGATGTACTCACATCCCTCAGATACTATGTAAGGAACCCCAGTAAACTCATGGTTCCCCAGAGTAAAGTTTGACAGACTCATGCCTCAGTTTGTCATTGGGACCTTAAGAGAAGGGGCAGATGTTGCTTATATCTCCCCCCTGGGGAAAGATTTCAGCAACCGCTGGACTAGCTAGAGGGGAATTCTGTATAACTCTTTGTCAATGTCCCTGTGACCTACAGTCCGATGAAAACGGAGATAAAGGCTCATGAAAGTTAAAGGAGGTCCCAAGGTATTAGAAAAGCTGAGGCAGGAGCATTACTTGGGCTCAGGAGTTCAAAGCCAATCTGAATAATGTAGATAAACCCTGGAGAGAGAGGGGGGCTGGTGGGGGGAGAGGAAGAAAGGGAGAGCAGAGTGCAGATACTGTTAAGTTTCGGGGAATAAAATGAGGCCCCTATTAATCCCCTACTCACTGTGGGATGGACAAGCTTCCCCACCCCGAGTGAGGAGAGACTCCAGGCGCAGGCCATCTCCCCGCCCACCCCAGCCCTCTTTCTTCAGCTGCTCTCACGCTGTGGGCTCCATTTACTAGACTGCAGACAGGATGCCCTCTCCAGGAGCCCAACTCTGCCCAACGGGAGCGCTGCACACGACACCCAAAGCCCTGTGCATTCGCGTGCACACACAGACCCGCAGATTCACGTGCACACACAGACCAGCAGACAGGAAAGTACAAACCCTTACGGTACAGAAAGCTGCCTCTGCCTCCCTAAGCCCCTTCCGCTAACACAGCTGCAAGCGGACCTCCCAAACCCAGAAAGAATCTTCTAGGGCTTTTTTTTTTTTTTGCCTTTTTTAATGTCTTCCCTCCTTTACTCTCTGTTCTCATTTGGGGCTTTATAAAGTTATCTTTCCGACCAGCACACGACTGACACCATGATCCGGACAAAGAGCTTCTGCCCTTGGCACCTGTCAGGAGGGTGTCCTTGGTCGACAGTCCGTCACCCCCCTCCAAGCGGTACCCTCGACTCCCACGCAGCCTCCCTGTCACGGTGGAGACTGCCGCATGGTTTTCCAGCTTGTGGAGATGAATAGGTCCCGGCTCTTAGCCAGCCGCACCATGAGGCGGCCTACGTAGAAGCCACTGATCTGGCCCACGCCATCGTTTCTGCCCATGGACAGGAGGAACGTCAGTGCACCTGGGAGGCAGACACACAAGGCGAGACGATGCCTGAGGGGGGATGCAGCCCTGAAGCCTTCAGGTGCCACAGGCAACCATGCATGCCTTTGAAGAAGGCAAGTGAGATGTCGGGTGCAGGCCTGCGTGTGTGCCTGTGCGCCTGCCAATGTGTGCATGTGTGTGTGTGGGGACATGTTGAGGCCAGAGGACAACCTGGGATGTCATTCTTCAGGTAACATTCACCATTTTTTGTTTTGTTTTGTTTTGTTTTCAAGACAGGGTCTCTATGTGTAGCTTTGGAGCCTGTCCTGGTACTCGCTCTGTAGACTAGGCTGGCCTCGAACTCACAGAGATCCGCCTGCCTCTGCCTCCCCAGTGCTGGGATTAAGGGCATGCGCCACCACCACCACCACCACCACCACCACCCAGCAACCATTTTTGTTTTAAACACTGGATCTTTTACTGCCCATGAGGCCCCAGTTTGAGGCCTATTCTAAGCCTCAAACTAGGGTCCACCTTGTATGTACTTACCATCTGAGCCATGTCCCCGGCCTCTGTTGTTAGCAATGCTGGAGATGAAACCCAGGGCCTCGGCATGCCAAGCAAGAACTCTACCACTGAGCTACAGCCCCAGACACGTTTGCTTTTAAAGAGACTCTGTGCTGTGACCTGCAGTCCAGTGGTCAGTCATCTTACAGCCCCCAAAGCCTTCCTCACATCTAATCCCAAACTTCAACAACTGTAGAGTGCCCAAGATTTCCTTACCTGGCTTGTAGGCTTTGAGGGGTCTCTGCTTCATGGAGTTGACAATGTTGGCCACGACAACGTTGGCATGCAGGCCAGCATGGTAGGCCATCTTGGGCTCCTTAACATCGGCACAGTCACCAATGGCATAAATATTGCTGTAACCTTCCACCTGGAGGAACTCGTTCACTTTCAGAGCACCATTGCTGGCCAGTCTAGTCTCTGCTGGGCAAGATGACACCAAAGCAGCCCCGGGGGACCATGTTAAGTAGCCTCCAGAACAATGGGACGAGTCCCAGGTGTGGGTCCAGTCACTTCAGAGATGTGTGCTAAGAAGCGACACTCCCACCTGCTGTCATCCTGCCTGAGGTCCCCATCCAAGACCCTGCCTGCCAAGGCAAGCCTGACCCACAAGAACAGAGGCAGAGCCCTGGAACGCCTCCTCATACAAAGCACAGAGAGCTCTTTGCAAGTCCCCTGGCTTTCTAAGTCTTTAACTGCCTTTGGGACAGACGTCGGAATTTTAAAATAGATGCAGGCCTTTCCTAAACGATAAAGAGCTTCCCTAACGGGACTTGAAAGAACTTATCTTTGAAAATGCATTTAAATAATGAGATGTTAAGCTCTGCCCACTGCCTTCCTTCCAGATTGAAAACTAACTTCCTACTGGACCCGGCAGAGACTGATCAGGGAAGGACACTCAGCAGTGGGTGACAGGTCCCTGGGGATGCAGAGCAATCATGGGGCTTGGCCACTGAGTGTCACTTTCATACGTAGACGCTTAAACACGCATCAGTCCGCTGTTTGTCTATCCCTCTGGAATCTAAATACTGAGCTTTAAGAGATGAGGCCATGTTAACGTCCCCACTCCCGCAAATGGAGGTTTGGAACTGATGTAGCCACATGCTTGGGTCTGGATTTGCAGACAGCAGCACACCTGTGGATGGGAAAAGCCTGCCCTGGGAGTTCCTCAGCTTCCTCTTGGCAAAGAGGCTGTTCTCACCCCTCTGAAGCCTGCTCCCACCTCTCGCCACTAGGGGGAAGCCCTCACCTTGGAAGTTCCTGGCCTCCCAGCTCGGCAGGCGAGGCCCCTCAACCTGAATTCAAAGTTCAAGATCTAATGAGCTAATGGGATAAGAGGAGGAGGCAGAGGGTACTGGTTCAGGGGGCAAAGGGGCTGTGGGGTGTCTCCGAATGCCAGAGAGAGAGGAGGCCGCCTAGGAAGCATCTGCGGCTGGGCCACCCACTCACCAAATGCACTGTGGTAGGCAGAGCTGTTAATCTTGATCCCGTTGCACACAATCACCAGGTTGGTGGCCACCTCTGTGCCCTTGTCTGTCTGCACCTTGATGTACTCCCGGTACTCATTGAGAGGCAGGTCCTCCAGGTTGCACACCCCGCTCACCTGTGGAGGGTACCATGACAGGAAGCTGGCAGAGGCCGGGCCCACACCATGGCAAACCACGGGGAAAGTGATTATTCCCCTCGTGACTCTTCCCTCGGTCCACTCTCCTGCCTCATCCCCAAGCAACAGAATGTGGACATCTTGTCCCCAGGGGATCCATCTGGAGAAAAGTTCCAGAAAGCTGCTGGAGGGAAGTGAAGCCAAGCTTCCCAAGTTCTAGGAAACACTACTCAACGGAAGGCCCCTTCTCTGGATGGCAGCTTGCCCATCCCGTCCAAGCAAAAGGCCCCCAGCACAGCACAGACGAGAAAGCATTCAGTTGGCAGCTACTTGCAAAACATGCAGAAAGCCCTGTGTTCTAGACCCAGCACCACAAAAACTAAGCATGGCATGTATGCCAGTGCCCTGGAAATGGAGGCAGGAGGATTACAAGTTCAAAGTCCTCCTTGGTGACACAGTTTAAGGCCAGCCTAGTCTACATGAGATACTCTAACTTTCAAAAATTTAAGAAAAAAAAATGAGGGGCTGGAGAGATAGCTTAGCAGTTAAGGGCACTGGCTGCTCTTCTAGAGGTCCTGAGCTCAATTCCCAGCAACCACATGGTGGCTCACAACCATCCGTAATGCGATGTATACAGAACACTGTATACATAATAAATAAATAAATCTTTTAAAAAAAAGAAAGAAAGAAAGAAAGAAAGAAAGAAAGAAAGAAAGAAAGGAAGAAAAAATAAAAAATGAAGGAGCTGGAGTGGTTAAGAGGGCTCAGTGGTTAAGAGCACTGGCTGCTCCCTCCGGGGGACCCAGATTTGGTGGTTAACAGCCAAATAGAGGCTGAAAACCATCTGTAACTCTAGGTCAAGGAGATCTAATAACCTTTTCTGGCCTCCATAGGCACTGGGCACATACATGGTACATAGACATGTACACAGACAAAACATTCACACACATAAAAATTATTTTAAGGGATGGATGGATGGATGGATGGATGGATGGATTGTAGCTGGAGATTTCTTCAGTCCCACCAGGGCCTGCAGCCATTCAGACCCAAGTAAACAAACAGAGACTTATATTACTTAAAAACTGTATGGCTGTGGCAGGCATTTTACTATCTAGTTCTTACATCTTAAATTAACCCATTTTTATTAATCTATAAGTTGCTTCGTGGCTTGTGGCTTATCGGTACTTTTTTTTTTTTTTTTTTTTTTTTTTGGTTTTTCGAGACAGGGTTTCTCTGTGTAGCTTTGCGCCTTTCCTGGATCTCACTCTGTAGACCAGGCTGGCCTCGAACTCACAGAGATCCACCTGGCTCTGCCTCCCGAGTGCTGGGATTAAAGGCGTGCGCCACCACCGCCCGGCGGCTTATCGGTACTTTATATGTAACTTCTCATGGTGGCAGCGGCTGACAGTGTCTCTTCTCAGCCTTCCACTTCCCAGAAATTTTCTACTCTCCTTATCCCGCCTACACTCTCCTTCTTGCCTGGCTACTGGCCAATCAGCATTTTATCAATCAATCAGAGCAACACCTTCACAGCATACAGAAAGACATTCCCAGCAATGGATGGATGGGTGAATAGATGGATGGGTGGATGAATGAGTGGATGCATGGATGGATGGATGGATGGGTGGGGGGTGGGAGGTGGATGAATGGATGGATGGATGGATGGCAAAAGGCAGAGAAAATGAGGGAACCTGTTTGAAAGCAAAGTGCTTCCTGTCCTCAGTGACCAGTTACCAGAGGGGCTTCCACAGCAACTGCCACACACCCTTCTGCACAGAACATGGAGGTGACACCCAGGTGTCATCCCATTCCAAATACTGGCATCAAAAAAACACCACTCAAAGAGTAGGGTGGTGGTGGCTAAGCCGTTAGTCCCAGCATTCAGGAGGCAGATGGAGTGCTGGGAGGCAAGGTAGAGTGAGTTCCAGTGAGTTCCAGGACAGCCAGGGCTATACAGAGAAACCCCACAAACCAAAAAGAAAAAAAAAATCCACACTTGATACACACCTGTTCCCTCTTCCACAGAGACATCAAAACTCAAAACATAGGGCAGATCCTTCAGAGGCAATAAGTCATTCAGGAAATAGCATCTCCTATCTGTCCCTGTCCGAAGCTACAGCCGGGCATTGCTAGCCCTGTGATTTTGACCTCCAGCTGGACACTGCTCAAGCAAGCTCCGATGCTTGAGACTTCCTGATGCTTTCCAGGTACGGTGGGAAAGAGGGAGCCTGAGTGGATGTCCCGCCCCTACAGCCCCTAGCATATATATATATGATATACTGGGCCATGTGCAGTAGATCAGCAGGTGGGGGCTGGGCAGGCGGGGTTTATCAACATACTCAACAGCAGCTGCACACCCTTCCGGAGAAGGATCTCCTTCACTTCCTGCCGCACACAAGGTAGGAGCTCCTGGTCCGCCAGGGGTACTCTGGAGTGGATGAGAGTGACCTGGGACAAAAACAAACAGACCAAACCCACAGGGCTTGAGAGGGAAGCCCGGAGCCTCTTCCCCTACCTCCATGTAATACTGAGGAAACTGAGCGGCAGAGAAACTCTACACAGTCGTTCCAGGCTCCAGCCTACCTCTCAGTACTCAGTACTCGGTGCCCCTAACCCAGAGGACCACCCATGTGCCACTGCACAAACCCACACCTCACCTAAGGCAAATGGACAGTTCTTTCGGGATATACAATGGTATAATCAGTATATAAGCTGCTGGCATTCCGACCCGCTACCAGGCTGATAGTTCAACACTGACGCGAGTTCTAAAATTAGCCTCATAGGCATGTCCACTTGCTGTCTCCGCATGAAGGCGTGGAGGCAGATCGTGACCGACCATCGTCCAGGTCAGACTTTGAAACCAGGCTGCCTCTTTGGCCTGGTGACACAGGCCTGTAATCTCAGCTACTATGGAGGCTGAGGGAGGAGGATCTCAGGTTCTAGGTCAGGCGGGGCTACAGAGTGAATTCCGGACCAACTGGCAACCGAGTCAGACCCTGTCTCAGAAAGTAAAAAGAGGCTGGGCGGTGGTGGCCTATGCCTTTAATCCCAGCACTCAGGAGGCCGAGGCGGGCAGATCTCTGATTTCGAGGCCAGCTTGGTCTGCAGAGTGAGTTCTAGGACAGGCAGGGCTACACAGAGAAACTCTGTCTCGAAAATAAAAAAATAAAAAGAGGGCAGGAGACGTAGCTTATGGGCAGAATGCGTGCCTAGCGCATACAAAGTCTCAGAAGGAGTGAAGAAGGGAGAGAGGAGAGGAAGACAAGACGGAAGTGGGGAAGTGGGGGAACTTGGCTGAGGTGAAATCCCATCTCTGACACTCGGATCGGACATCTCCCCGAGACTCACCAGAATCCACTCGTCCCACTCAGGAACTGTGTCATGATGGACACGAACACACGTTACAGGAGGGCTGGCAAAATGGCTCAGCAGCTGAGGTGACTGCATCAAGCCTGGCAACCTGAGTTCGAACCCAGGACCCACATGGTAGAAGGAGAGAACCAATTCCCACAATTGTCCTATGACCTCCACACAGAAAGTAGAATGTGGCATGCGCGCCTACACACACACACACACACACACACACACACACACACACACACTAAAATACATAAAAAATTTTAAATTATATTATTTTGTTTTTTGAGACAGGGTCTTTCTACATCAGTGATTCTCAACCTGTGGCCACAACCCCTTTGTGGGGGTCAAACAACCCTTTCACAGGGGTCACCTAAGACCATCAGAAATATCTTACAGTTCACACAGTAGCAACATTACAGTTATGAAGTAGCAGCTAAAATAATTTTATGACTGGGGGTCACCACAACATGAGGAACTGTATTAAAAACAATCACAGCATTAGGAAGGTTGAGGATCACTGTTCTACATAGTCCTGGCTGTCCTGGAACTAGCTCTGTAGACCAGGCTGGCCTAGAACTCACAGAGATCCTCTTGCCTGTGCCTCCCACGTGCTAGGATTAAAGGTGTGTGCTACTATGCTCGGCCCTAAATAAAAATATGTTAAAGGAAGTAACTTTATCGCCAGTCCCACAATAGTTGGTTACTACAGTGCTCTTACATGCCTGCTACTACAACATAGATCTTACAACATAGAAATGTACTACTTCAGACACACTCAATCCCTGGGACATGACAAGAATTCCAGTCTGTCCCTGGCTGCTGACACAGAGCTCTCAAGCCCTTCCAGGGCTGGAAGAATCACTTGTTCTGACATTTGGCCCTAATTCCTAACCCAGAGCTTCTGCGATCTTTATAATTCTCTGAGTGACGAAACTACCGGATGCCTTGGGATTTCCTAGGTGACAGGCACATCATTCAATCTGATGAGACAATGCCACCAGACTCAAACCATTATGGGAGCTCTCAGCCCCTGCCCCAACCCACCCACCCCCCCAGGAAGCAGAGGGGAGCCAGAGATGGAGTTCCACAGTCCATCATGCCTAAATGCTGAAGCTTTCAAAAACTCCCAGTGGGACTTGAAGAGCTTCTACATGTATGAACATGGCCAGATGGCACACCCCAACTCCAGGGAGAAAGAAGCCCCTGTGCTCGGGATCTTTATCCGGCTGTTCATATATGTCCTTTAAAAGCTTATTTTATTAGTTTTTTAGTTACATTTACATGTGTCTGTATGTGGATATGTGCACATGAGTGCAGTTCCTATAGAGTCCAGAAGAGGGCATTATATCCCCTAGCGCTGGTTATACAGGTGGTGTGAGCCCCACATGTGGATGCTGAGAACCAAACCTGGGTCCTCTGCAAGAGCAGTATGAGCTCTTAACCACTGGGCCATCTCTTCAGCCTCATCTGTGTCCTTTGAAGCATCCTTTGTGATAGGTAAGTCAGCAATGGTAAGCAAGCGGTATCTCTGGGGTCTATATGCCACTCTGGCCACTGTAAAGCCGGATGGGAGGGACTTTCCATTTATAGCTGGGTCAGAAGTGTTATTTAACCAGGGACCTACTACTCCACTGTCATCTGAGATGGGAGCAGCCTTATGGGTCTGAGCCCTTGGTCTATGGTGTAGGTGCCAATTCCAGGCAGCTTTGGAGTTGAACTGCATCGTGGGACACCCCACTGGTCACTGGCGTCAGTAAGATCAGTCAGTGTTGGAAGAGACCCACTCTTCTCATCACAGAAGCACCGAGAACAAGCAGGGAAGGGTTGGCTTTCCCTACGCAACACTCATGAATCAAAATGAATACTTTAACTACATCCATCAGTCACCATAATTTCCAACCATTTGTCAGAGAGTAAGCATATAATTAAATTATCTCGGATTGATTTTCCTTGTTGAAGCTAACCCTCTTTCCCCAGGGAGAAGAGTTCACGGGCTCTTTGTGGCTCAAAGAGGCTGACTCACATGAGCCAAGGCTGACCCACATGAGGTACCAGAAAGCCAGGGACTTCAGAACCCATCACTACAACGATCACTCAGCTCTCACCGCTCAGGGAACTTAGATTCCCCCCTCTCTCTAAGGTCCTAGCCAGGTTCCTATCTCTCCAGCATTAGAAAAATCAGGGCAGGCTGTTGCCACCCCTTCCAAGGAACTGAGGATCAGTCCTTCCCCAGTGTGGGCAGCTCTCCCAACGCCACAGGTGCAGCTGTCCAGGGCAAGGGCTGCCAATCAAACATAAAAAGGAAACTTCACAGCAAAAAGAGATAACCAAAGAACATCCAGGCCTCATCCCAAGGGCCTTAACTCTGAAGGAGAGACGTGGGAGGTTGGGTTTGTGAGGGTTTCTTGAGAACATGGTCCTCCTCCTCTCCCCACATCCAGAACTCCCTACAGCCAGGAGCCTAAGAGGAGGAAGCTCTTCTCCTCCTCCCTGTGTGGAGTAACTGCACGTGGAATTGCTTTTAGTACAAGATGGAAAACGCTCTGCTTATGCACGTGGGGCTCCAGCCTCCCGGGGCCTGAGCAAAGATCTGACGCTGCTGGGGTGGCAGGACAGGTGAAGGTAAAGGCGCTTGCCCCCTAGCATGATGACATGAGTTCAAAACCCAACGTAGACAGAGTGGAAGGAGAGAACTGACTCCCACAGGTTATGCTCTGACTCACACCATGGCACGTGTGCATGTGCAGGTACACACACACTAAGACTATATATGTATAGATTTTCAAAAGAATGAAGGAAGGGAGAGAAGGAGGGAGGAACGAAGGAAGGAAGGAAGGAAGGAAGGAAGGAAGGAAGGAAGGAAGGAAGGAAGGAAGGAAGGAAAGGAAGGAAGGAAAGAAGGAAGGAGGGAGGGAGAAGGGAGGGAGGAAGGAGGGAAGGAAGGAGGGAGGGAGGGAGGGAAGAAAGGAAGGAAGCAGATGACTGAGAGCTCCCGGCCAAGGGGGCTGCCTCACCTCCTTCTCGGGGTACTCAGTTTTAATCTCTGCCGCCATCTCCACTCCTGCCGAGCCACCCCCCACCACCACGATGAACTGCGAGCGCTGGATCTGAAGAAGAAGAAGAAGAAGAAGGGACCATGGAACACACCCACACGCCCACACGCTGGTTCAGCCTCTGGAGGGGGAGGGAGGCCCTGGCCAAAGAAGGGCAGAGCTCTGTCCATATTTGGGCTCCAGCTGGGCCTCCCCACCCCGCACCTCACAGGATCCCTGGGGAAACTGGGAGCATGGAGCTAGGTGGGCTGTGCCGCACAAAGCAAGTGGAATGGGAGGCATGTGGATATGAAGAGGTGACAAGTGGGACCAGCCAGAGACATACCCAGCCCAACACACACAGGACCCCAGGTCGGAGGCCTCCTCTGGGAAAATATCTCTCTAGCAACTCTTGGCCGCTCGAAAGCTGTTTAGGCAGCTGTGAGGTCGACCCACACAGTCTCCTTGCTCCCGGTCCCGGGGTGTAGCCCACGGCGCTCTGGCCTGCCCGCCCTGTCCCACACCCGTCAGTGTGGCCCACCTGCTTCACCATGTCCTCGTAGGCCTGGATGGCCGCCTGCTGGCAGGACACCTCATTAAACTTGCCAGGGAAGGGCCCCGTGCTGCCTGTGGCCAGGATGAGATGTGAGAAGGGCAAGGCCTGTAGAGGAGACGAAAAAGACATGTGAGACCCAGGCGGAGACGAAGGACTGGGCCTCCGCCCCCAACCGCCCGACACCAAGGGGCCAGGGAGCATTGCAGAAAAGAGGGTCCTGGGGTTGGGTTTGTGAGGCAACTCTGGGCCGCCTCTCCCCATAGCTCTGTACAGCCAAGGGCCCAAGTAGGAGGAGGAAGAGGAAACACCACATTGATGGGAGGCATCTAAGGTACCAGGAGCCAAGAATTACCTAAGGAAGCAAGAGAGCATGGGATGTAGAGCTAACCGGCATAGGGGCCAGGAACTGGAAACTGCTTGGGGGGAGCAATGAGCAGGACTCACATCTCCGGTGTAGAGTTAGTTTGGAACCTTCTGGATTTTTTTTTTTTTTTTTTTGGTTTTTCGAGACAGGGTTTCTCTGTGTAGCTTTGCGCCTTTCCTGGAACTCACTTGGTAGCCCAGGCTGGCCTCGAACTCACAGAGATCCGCCTGGCTCTGCCTCCCGAGTGCTGGGATTAAAGGCGTGCGCCACCACCGCCCGGCGGATTTTTGTTTTTGAGACTGGGTCTCATGTAGCCCAGCTATGTAGCCAAGGATGACCTTGAATTTCTAACCTCCTGCCTCCAACTCCAATGGAACTGGGATTACGTGGCATATACCACCGTGCTCAGTGCTGAGGAACACACCCAGAGCCTCATGCACACTAGGTAAGAAGAATTCTACTGAGCCACATCCCCAATGCCTCTCTTGGATATTTTAGAACCCTCCACCTATCACACCAAAGAATGACACTTATGTAAAGGCTCAGGACGGTGCCTGGCATGTAGGAAAGTCGGTGGTAGCGCACGCCTTTAATCTCAGCACTCGGGAGGCAGAGCTAGGCGGATCTCTGTGAGTTCGAGGCCAGCCTGGTCTACAGAGCGAGATCCAGGACAGGCACCAAAACTACACAGAGAAGCCCTGTCTCAGAAAAAAACAAACAAACAAAAAAGTGCTGTGAAGCAGAAAACAGGACTTGGAGCCCACAGATGGCTCCTCTTGGGCCTCACACACTCACCTCACCGCCCTGGAGCAACACTGTACGGTTCTTCAGGTCTATGCCAACCACTTTGCCCTGGCGGAAGTTGTCCTTGAAGGTCACTGAGTAAGAAATGAATGTCTTTTTGGCGAACCCTGGCAATGGACAAAGAAGATGTCATGGAGATGAGTAGGGCTGAAACTCTCCCAAGCCACATACCCACAAGGGTGCTCGTGGCCACAGCCAGGCCAGTGGGTACACCCAGGTGTCCACTCTGCCCTGAAGTGCCCGTCCGGTCCTCCGAAGAACCTAAACTCTTACCCTGGGACTTCTTTATAGGATATGCTTAAGACCAGTGCCCTAAATGGAGAAAACGCCCCCAGCCCTGGCATCAAACCCCATAACAGTGACAAGACCGTGCTCTCAAAGGAGCGACTCACCACTTTCCACGGAGGCCCGGAGGGCTGCCACATTGTGGTGGAAGGAATCCTTCATGTCCACCAGCATGAAGGGGATATTCAGCGCCTGCAGCTGGCTGGCGGCCGCTATCCCTCCAAAGCCTCCGCCCACGATCACCACGTGCACGGCTCCCTTATCCACCGAGACCTGGGACCCCATCTTGAACTTGGCACTGATGCACTGGGAGGAGAGACTACATTCGACTCAGGGGAATGAGAGGGCAGGGGTGCCTGTGGCGAGAGACAGGTTGACCTTGGGCTTCCTCCTCAGGTGCTCCGCTCTCCCCCTTATTTATTGAGACAGGGTCTCTCGATTGAACCCCGAGCTAACTAATTTGTTTCTCTGCCTTTCTAGAGATAGAATTACAGTTGGGCTGGCATGAGCACTTGGCATTTATTGGGTACTGAGTATCCAGACTCAGACATCACACTTGTGTGGCAGGCACTTTAAACGTGGTACTGTCACCCCAGCCCCAAGCATTCATTTTTCACTCATGAAATTACAACCCCATGGAAAAATTAAATTCAAAGAAAAAGGAGCAGCCTGCTCTCACCCCATCAAAAACACCCGCTCCCTTCTCTGGAGGCATCCGAACCGCGCCCCCCCCCCCCCCCAGCTGTTCTATAAACCGAAGCCCATAATTATCAAATTGTTCTTCAATTTGCTTTTCCTAAATATACATCCTCAAAGATTTCCAAAGAGGGAGCCGTGTCTACTCAACATACATGAACACAGCACGCTGTTGCTGTGGATCATGTGATCAGACAGACAGGCACGGCCCCTACCCTTACAGAAACAGAGCTGAGGCCAGCAAGATGGCTCAGCAAGTGAACAAGCCTGATGACCCCAAGTTTGATCCCCAGAAAACGATGGAGGGAGAGAAATGATTCCCAGAAGTCATCCTCTGAGGTCCACAAACACATGGTGGCACATGCATGCCCCCCCCAACAATATCATACCCATACAATAATGATTATTACTTATTCCTCAAATATTCTTTTAAAAAGAAGAGTTTAGAACATCAAAGGATGGGGTGGGTAACAAAAAAAGCTGTGTAGGAAGTTGCGCAGGTAGGTGAACGAGAAACGGTAGCCTTGCCTGTTGGGAACCAGACAGGGAAGCCACATCTAAAGGAAAATCCTTGCATTCCCACGCTCAGCAGACACTGCAGTGAGATTATGCTAAGGGGCCTAGGTCACCAGCGTGAACCCCAGGTCGAAGGGCGCCATTGGCAGAGTATGACAAGCATCGTGCGACACAGGGTGTTACTACGGTTCGGATGTGTTTTCTAAAACAGCACACACTGGAAACCTACTCTCCAGTGTGACAGTGTAGAGGTGGCCCTTCTGGGAGCTGTTTAGGTCATGAAAGTCCCACCTATGAATGGATGGATGCACACGAAATATAAAAATCACTGAGGGGCCAGTGAGGCGGCTTAGCTGGTAAAGGTGCCTGCCACCAAGTCTGCCAATATGAGTTCAATCCCCAGCTCTCACATGATGAAAATCAACTCTTGAAAGTTGTCCTCTGACCTCCACACATGCATCCTGACAAGTGCACTTGTGTGCACGCACGCACGCACAAGCACAATATATATATATATATATATATATATATATATATATATATATATATATATATAAAGAAGCGGGTCCCTGAGGCTTCAAGCACTTGCTCTTCCTTGCCTTCCCCATGGGAAGGTGCAGCAGGAAGGCCTTTGGCAGAGGTTGGCTCCTTGACTTTGAACTTCCCAGCCTGCAGAGCCATGAGCCAACAATTTTCTGCTCATTATAAATTATCCAGTCTGCAGCAGTCTGTAGAAACGCCACAAATAGACTGAGACAATAGGGGAGGAGCCCGCCATGGGATAGGTCACTCCAAAGCAGCAACACCCCTTACCCTAGGGACATCTAGGGTATGACCCAAGACCTGGAGGTCGGAGAGGAAACCTGTTGGGAAAAAAAATCTCATTGACTGTCTGCTGTGAGAAAGAGGGTGGGGGTGGGGTGGAGAAGCACTAGCTATCTGGTAGACCCTGCGCTGAGAGGGGAGAGCCAGGCCCTGAGGGAGGCTGAGAGGAGAGACAAGAGGGTGGTCGTCTGAGGCCGGGGGCTGCAGTGGGCGTGGCCCAGCACACTGAGAGTAAACCATGGTTGAGCCTCCAGAGCGGAAAGACTCCAAAACCTTTGGCCCAGAGCTGGATGTTGAGGCATCTAAGGCAGAGGAAAGTGGCCATTAGGTCACTAGACACAGAACTGCTGAGCCCGGAGATAACAACAGATGTCAGGGGCCCGGACTCCCCCCAGCACCTGCATAAGGCTGTCAGGGCCTCTTGCAGTATCCTGGGGTCTGCCCCTGTGTCTCCAGCCCAAATGAACCCCAGAGATGAACATACCATGTGGCCTTGAGACAGCCCAAGGGCTCACCAGTGCGGAAAGAGCCACCCATCCATATGAGGGCCAGGTCCTTCCCGCCGAGATCTAGACAGCAGGAGCAGGGTTGCTGGGTGGTACTGTCTCAGACCAAAGGGGCATCAGATGCCTCCAGCCCAGGCCAAGTCCTAGGAAGGGACCTCTAGGGTGGCACTAAGGACAAAAAGCTACAGAAAGCAGCCAGAGAGGCCCAGCTACTCTGTGCGCTTCAGGGCAGGACACCAATAATGACATTTTGGGGGGATATAAGAAAGGAGGAAGTAAGTCAGGCACAGTGTGGCCCATGCCTATAATCCCTGCATTTGGGAGGTAGAGGCAGAGAGATGGAAGTTCAAGATGACCCTCAGATATATAGCAAGTACAAAGCCAGTCTAAGATACATAAAGACTATTTAAAAAAAAAGTCTTGCCGCACGCCTTTAATCCCAGCACTTGGGAGGCAGAGGCAGGCAGATCTCTGTGAGTTCGAGGCCAGCCTGGTCTACAGAGTGAGTTCCAGGAAAGGCGCAAAGCTACACAGAGAAACCCTGTCTCGAACAACAAAACAAAACAAAACAAAACAAAACAAAACAAAACAAAAACAAAAAAAAAAACAATGTGAATAGCTCCTGAGAAATGACACACAAGGCTGACCTCTGACCTCCAGGGCTTGCACACACATGTGTGTCCGAACAAAAAGAAAAGAAAGGAGTTCATGCTAAGCTGAGCCTGGAAGTACAGGCTCAAGCAGCCGAACAGCTTCATGAGCAAGCGTGTCCCAGTCCATCAGGGACCGTCTCTATTCGGGTGGTGCTGTGGCACTGGAGGGCCATCCATCATCTGACCCTCTGTGTGGTGAGAGGGAACCCCACTCTTCTCTGGGCCCTCGGTTTACTCTCTCTTTTTTTTAAATTGATTTATTTTCTTTTTCTGTGTTTGCCCACATGTGTATCTCTGCACCACGTGCATGCTTGGTGCCTAGAAGGCCAGAGAGGATGTTGGGAACCCTGGAACTAGAGTTAGAGATGGTTGTGAGCTGTGGGTGCTGGGGATGGAGCCCAAGTTCAACCGAGATCAGCCAGTGCTCTTAACCACTGAGCTATCGATCTAGGCCCCTCAGTTTACCCTTTCTTGTAGGAAGCACTATACACTTACCCTTACACACATAGAATTGATTCCAAGACAAGGAAACCCCACCAAGACAAATCCTCCCACCCTTGCGGAACAACTCATGATTAGAACTCCCGACACTGTCTTCATTGGTGCTGGCATGTGGGAGGGGACTTAAAGTTATTTCTCATTGGCTAAGTGGCCTCTAATACACCAAGGCTCCAGCATTCCACCCATCTGACAGATTAGGAAACTGAGTCCCTGACAGGACTGAGACCACAAATCCCCCAGGAGGCAATGCTCCCCTCTCTTCCTCTAACTCCTCAGAGGGTTGCCCAGAGCTAATTCTGAGTATTCAGCAGGCTAACTATGCCAACGGAATAAAAGATGAATATCTCCAGGGAGCCAGGACCCAGGAAGAAGACACAGGTACTCAGCCAGAGGCAGGAACAGACATCGGTGGGTTAGCAGGGCCTGCAAACAGGGAAGGTCAGAAGGTAGACCACAATAGACCAGTGGTAAGTTCAGAAGTGAGTAGGAGTTCAAGGCACATGTGGCAGAAATGTGGGAAAAGCAGGTGACAGGCCAGGACAGACGTCACTAAGAACCCATCATGCCCGATGGGCCAACAAACCCGCCCTTGCCTCTGCTGAGAACTCCATCCCTGCAAGGGGGGAGTGCCAGCGTCTACTGGACTGGCCAAAAGTCCCAGATGCCTCAGCTCCTCCTTGTTCACCTAGTTGCTTTCCCGAAGAGCAGACAGACCTTTGCTATGCTCAACCGAGCCAGCCCCCAGTAAAGCCAAACTGCTGCCCTGGCCTCCAGGGCCTCCGCAATGTCCAGAAAAGGGAGGCCATTTCTCACACTCCCCTGCTGCTCTCTCTGGAACCTTCTCTCTCCTCCACTGACCTCTGCCACCCTCACTTGAGAGATAGGAGGCCAGCAAACTCTCTAGAACATTCCAGATCCTTGCCCAACACTTGGACACACCAATTGTCCTTGGCTCTTCTCTGTCCATCCTTGCCTGCCCTCCCCGGAGCGGGTAGGGCTTTGGGGTGGGTCAAGGCTCCTCTTTGCTGGGCCATGACCTACTTGGCCAGCCACTGAAAACCCAGGGCCTCGGCCACAGTCCTCCACTCCCAGCTGCAGACCCTGTGGTCACTCCAAATGCATGCAGGGCATGAATGAACGTTATCTGTGTGTTTGTGTGTGCTTAACACAGCAGCCAGGCTGGGCCGACTACATTCACTGGAAGACTCCGTTAACCCACAGAAACCTCCATTGGTGGGAGACTCTAGAAGAGACTCCCATACACCCCCATACAACCTATTCGTTTTTAAAGAGTGAATAGCATTTTTCCATGAAAGGCTTGTCCGTGGAAAAGTCAAGCAACAGAATCATCACCAGTAGACCCTCACCCCACTTACAAGCAATAAGACACAGTACCTCGGTGTATGCACACACACACACACACACACACACACACACACACACACACACACTTGTGATGGCTGCAATGCTTGGCGGCCCCTGTCTTTCCCCTGTCGCTTTGCATTTCATACCTGTGGGGTTTTCACCCTATTTTGGAAAAAGAAAGTTCAGCCATTGGAGAACGCTCTCTCTTTAGCAGACCTGACCCCGTTCCCTGAACCAGGACATTAATCGTGGGCTAAGAATGGGTTTCTACCTTCTTTCTCGACTTTCTCTTGTTTGAATTGCTAAACAAGTATGTGTTGTCTTTGCAAAAATAATGACGCTTCAAAAGTGAGATGGGGCTGCGGAGATGTCTCGGTGTGTAAAGTGTCTGCCATGCGAGCATAGACTCTGAGTCTATATCCCAAGGACCCGCTTAAAAGCTGGGCACTCAGCCGGGTGGTGGTGGTGCACGCCTTTAATCCCAGCTCTCGGGAGGCAGAGCCAGGCGGATCTCTGTGAGTTCGAGGCCAGCCTGGGCTACAGAGTGAGTTCCAGAACAGGCTCCAAAGCTACACAGAGAAACCCTGTCTCGAAAAACAAAACAAAACAAAAACAAAAACAAACAAACAAAAAAAGCTGGGCACTGTGGTTTGGACTTGTAACTTCAGCACTGGGTAAGCAGAGAAAAACAGATCCCCGTAGGTGAGTGGCCAGCTGGCCTAGCCAGACCAATGAGCTCCTGGTTCGGAGAGACCCTGTCTCAAAAAAAAAAAAAAAAAAAAAGAGGGCACCAGGAATGGAGACACAGGTCTTAAATCCCAGCACTCTGGAGGCAGAGGTAGGCAGATCTCTGTAAGTTCAAGGCCAGCCTGCTCTACATAGAAAGTTCTAGGCTAGCTAGGGCTACAAAGTGAGACCTTGACTCAAAAAATAAAATAAAATAGGTGGGTACTTACCAAGGAAGGGTACCCAATGTCAACTATAGTGCATGCATACAAACACACACACACACACACACACACACACACACACACACACACACACAAGTTGCACAGGCAAGCTAGCTGTGATGGTACATCATACCCATGATCCCAGAATTTAGGGGGCAGAGGCAGAAGGATCAACATAAGTTCAAGGCCAGCCTTAACTCAATAGTGATTTCAGGGCTGTAGAGTAAGACTGTATCTCTAACAGGAAACTAGTGAGATAGGTCTATCACTCTATGATTTCTTTAATCAAATAGAATTCACATATAAAAGTTCCCATCTAAAGTGTCAATCGTCAGATTTTATTATACTTCCCAGATTGAACAATCACCGCAACTATCAATCCAGAAAACTTTCATCAGGGTGTGATGGTACATGTCTGTAAACCCAGCACTTGGTGAACACTGAGGCAGAAGTTCGAGGCCAGTCTTGAACATGTACGGAGACCCTGTCTTGGAGAAATCCTTCGGCGGCTACTAACATACCTTGTGTCTACAGATCTGCCTACTCTAGATGTCTTATGCAAATGGAGTCATACAACATATACCCTCTTGTGTCTGGTTCCTTTCCCTGACTTGCATAGTGTCTGTGTTCCCCCTTTACATGGCTAAATAACACCATCATACAATGACACCACATTCTTGTGGGTGACCCAACATTTTAATTTTCACTTCTTGGCTGTTGTGAACAGTGCCAACCCGGAAGGACATCTGTGCACAAGGTTTTATGTGGCCATGTTTCGAAGTTCAGTCTATGGCCATGGGAAGAACTGCTGAATCATGGGTAACTCTGGGTTTAACTTTCTCAGCCACTCCCAGAAAGGAAGCACAGAAAATCTCAACTAAAACTACCGGGTTCAGAAATATTAGCTTAAAACAGTAGTTCTCATCCTTCCTAATGCTGTGACCCTTTAATACAGTTCCTCATGCTGTGGTGACCCCCCCCCAACCATAACATTATTTTTGTTGCTACTTCATAACTGTAATTTTGCTACTGTTATGAATCATAATGTAAATATCTGTATTTTCCGAGGGTCTTACGTGACCCCTGTGAAAGGGTCGTTTGAAGCCCCCCAAAGGGGTCACAACCCACAGGTTGAGAACCACTGGCTTAAACTAAGTCTTAAGTGCTGGAGCATTGTTCAGCTGGTGGAGCGCTTGCCTAACGTTCAGAGGCAGGAGGATCAGAAGTTCAAGGCCAGCCTTGGATACATAGTAAATTTGAGGCTGCCAAGGGCTACATTGCCCTACCCCTCAAAAAACTAATGGTACAGCAATTTCTAAGTAATTTAACCACTGCCCCATCTCCCAAAACATACACACACATACACAGATGTGGTTCACGCTTGAACTTGCCTATCAACCCTGTTTTCTCTGCCATACAACCCGATCCCAGGGTAAAAGACCTTCAGGAATCTACTGGAACACATTCCTGCCATAGCTGTCGAGAGGTCAAACCTCAGGCAACACAGAACAGGAGCCCTGTACACCCAGGCCAAAGTGAGACCATCTTGCTGTCTTGCTCCACAAAAATCACAAATACGCTACACAGCCATTTGAGTCATCCCGGCTTCTACAAGAAGGAAGATTTCAACACCGACACAGGCTAGCCTTGTCCCCACAGTGGCCAAGAGGCAGAAGGTTACTGAAGTGTGACTCAGTGGGCTATGATGTCCCCTCTTCCATCAGCCTCCCCTCTTTGGACACCAGGAACCAGGCTGTGAGGGGGATGCTGCTGGGGAATGCACCCCCAAATGTAGCCTTTTGGGGGTTACATCCAGTGCTAAAAGGGACTGGCTGAGAGGATGAAGAGAAGAGGAAGGTATAGACACTCCTGTACCCAAACCTCACCCCAAGTGACCTGCCCATCTCTGTCCACTGCCAGCATGTACCCC